CTTACTCATTCTATTATAGGGACGCCCACNGGGTTGAAGAAATACTTTCCACGTATGCGAGAAATTTGTGCAATGTTTACAGGACGCTTATGTCCAAGCGGCGGACAGCTGGTATTTATAATCCTTGGTAACAACTGATTTGTTTTCACGGTGTTGCCTTCAGTGTACCTACAAGGGACAATTCATCGTTTCGAGCAAGTCAATCCTGCGTAATCCAAAGAGGCTCTATCAAGATCTCTTTGATGTCTTGACGGTTAGACCCTTTCTTTTGAAATAGAATAATCTCTAACATTGAACTTTTCTAGGCGCCCGAGGGTCACTGGATCTACGACGATGCAGGAGGTACTCCATGTTCATTTGGCGTATATTCTTACAGTTTATGTCCCTCATCATCCAGATAAAGAGTGGGAATGGTCCGGCAGTAAAAGCAGCCCGTCAAGCCCGTTTTTTGGTATTTCGAATTTCCTCTTGATAGGGACTGCAAAGCTGATCAGAAACACAGGTCATGCCCTTGAACGTTCTTGGCCGACGATATTCGGATGCGTCGACGTTCTGGTTTCTCGGAGGTGCTCACTCTCGTCGCCGGAAAGTTGCCAGTGTACACATGACTTTTAGGCGGAACAGTTACGTTCATAGTGAAGGACTTGGAAGGTTATAGTACGAACAACAGTAATTACGGCCCCCATGCATGGAACGCGCATATTACATTGCATCACCAGAAAAACAGTTCAACACTTACACACAAGTATTTCAGAATACAATCGTTCTGACAAACCGAGTCCCGTCCTTTTGAAATAGAGTATTTTCCAACATTAGGCGCCCGAGGGTCACTGGATCCACAACGATATGACAGAAGGTACGCTACGCTCATTTCGTGCATATTCTTACACTTTACAAGTCTGAAATATTCCAAAGCACAAGCATGTGGAGGTCTGCTGAACTACTTAGATATTTGTTCAATATTCCTTTAGAGCCGAGGAATGTATATAAACTCTGTTGCAGCCGTCCTTTCAATGGCTGAACTCCTCCAACTCCTTGACTTGTTGAAGACTAATGCCGACGTGTTGAATGTTTTGACTCTTCACAACCTCTTCTGCTTTGTGACTTATGCTGCTTGTCTCAAGGATGCCACCCAACGCCAGCCATCCATCCGGCTTTTCCAAATCTGAGATTTTTTGAAAAATCTGGTTCTCGAGTTATCAAATTGAATTGTCCGCTGTCTGGGTGTGCCACGGGTGCGCCAGTACCTCCTCAATAGTTAGTCGATCACTTGGATCTATCTTGAGCATCCTTTGTAAAAGGTCGCAAAAGATGACAAAATCTTCTCTACTAAGTGCGCCACCTTTTCTCGCAGATGAATTATCTATCTTTCTCTGCCACTTCTGGTCGGCCGCTTCCTGGGAAATATCTGCAAGATGGGGAGTCAGTGCGGGCAAGGATTCAGGAAATCCGACCGCTAATCACCTAGTTTGCGGAGATGTTCGTTCGAGTCCCAAAAGCTGCGCCACGACGGCGGGACTTTGCCGCAAACGGCCGCCATCTTGCCCAGGAGGTAGTCGTCGTGTGATGCGAGGTGGAACAGGACTACGTTAAAGACGATTTCGTACATCTGTCAACTAGTGTTAGAGGGGCATAGACATATAAGTAAACCAGAGTAGTGATTGTGCATACAATGCAAGCCAGTGCCCAGATGTCGCTCGCGGTTGTAGCAGATTGGGTGACTACCGAGGTAGTGACTTGTTCAAACATGATCTCTGGCGCACATACCGCCGCAGGTGTACAGGCAGGAGGTGCGGAGCTGCTTCCGACAATTATAGCTACCGAGCTAACGTGAGCCCACGGCAAACATCATTCTCGTCTAATGCATACCATTTCCTAAATCGAGTAGCTCAATGTGCAGTTCAGCGGTTGGCTTCAGAAGGAGTTCGGATATATGCGTCGGCGGGACAAGGTACGGAGGCAAGGATTCTGGCCGTGCGGGCGTCTGACGAGGAAAAACTATTGTGCATTCGGGCGGGTCGAAGCGATCGATGAGGTCCTCCTCAATGATATCGTCCAGTTGCGGCATGGACACGCCAATATTTCCCATGTGGAGATCTGTAGCCCACCTATTTCCATCAGTTTGAATGCTAAAATGGATAAAATGACCTAACCTCCGTGCACAACACCATGACGGTGAAGAAAGGCTAGCCCCTGAGCAATTTGGCGACAAAGATCCCGCGGGTTCCAGTGAGGTCGTGCAAGCCGAGCAACTATGTGGAATGAACCTAGAACATTGAAAGCATGTACCGCGTGTGTGCCATTAGGACCATCAATTGTGAAGCTGTCATGAAGCCGTAGCACATGGCGCCCTTCATCGCTGGAGAGCAGTCTAAAAACATCTAGTTCACGCTGAGGATCGGCATTGGCAACGCAGACTTTGATTGCAAAATAGCGTCTGCGGGACAAATAAGTGAGTCGGTCGCAATAGTAATCGTTGAGAAGGTCGTGCTTACCCGGATGCAGAATGATGTTGCGCAGACGCTAGCCATACGGTGGAAAAAGAGCCATGACCGAGCTTACTGAGTATGCGATACTTGCGAGAATTGCTTGGTTCGGTATCTGCGGGCGGTGGCAATACATCTCCAAGCTGGATGGGGTGATAGCCCCCGTAGGTATAGCGGCTAATCTCTTCAACATCCTCGTCGACGCCCCAGTGCAAGGAGAGCCGTTGCGGAGGTACGGGTTTTTGAACAGTCATTAGGCGCTTATCGAGCTTGTACTATCACTGGTGGGAACTTTGCAAGGGTATTAACTTTGCAAGGGTATTAACTTTGCAAATCTGTTTAATTGACAATATTCTGCCCCACATTGCTTCCACAATGGACCGATTTTTATGAAACTACATTGCTAGGTACTCATACATGTAATCTATGTATCCTAGCCATCTCGACAGTAAAAAATGAACTGCAGAAGGCGATACAGGCTTGGACATTTGTATACACCTGGGTTTGTGTCACAGACCCTATGTGTGACAGCGGTAAACCCCACTAAGGGGAAAACTGGGAAACATTTGCCCTTGCTGCCGCGTTACTTTGATGTGACTGATCTTGCAAAGTCGATGCCCATGTATGGAGATTCAAGCATTCTGTGTATTTTGCCTTGTAGCTCTTCTCCCCCACCTCTATCGGTTCAGATATTATTCTAGTTAGATTCAGAGTTACTTTAATATGCATCCCCATCCCAAGTTTTAATAAAATAGGCCCGGAGTCCCTTTCCTGCGCCCAATTCATTCAAATTTGCAAAGTTCCCACCAGTGATAGTAGTTCAAGTGATGATCTGAAAGATCATCGATCAATCGATCAAGCTTCAAGCTTAAAGTGTCGGTGATCACCTAGAGGGCGCAAAGGCACTCCACGGAGGAAAAGAAAGCAGCGAAAAAAGGTGATGGTGATTGACAGAAAGCAAGTTTGGTTTCCACGAATAACCCTTCTATAAGCAACCTCATTCCTGCCTTCATTTCTCTACAGGTTACAAGCTTTAGAACCGTGCCTACGGCGCTCGGCCGCACTAACAAACAACAGAAATTCCGCATACACCGAAACGCATATCTTACACACCAAAAAAACAGTTCGTTGCTTACACACAAGTATCTCAGAATCCAAATATAATACAATCGTCCTGGCAAACCGAGTGATCTTTCTCCTTCTCATGATTGACGATATCGCGTGCGGAGGTGAAGACGTCTTTCATGCTGGGATCTATCCTCGTCATCCTCTTTCCTTTCCTCGACTCTTCCCCCAGATACCTCACATGCACCTCGCAATGACCGGGCCCATTGGAAACTGCAGAAGATCGACAAGTCGCAACGTTCTCCCGAAATTTCGTGTGCCAATCCGCGTAACCATTAACATCCCCAACCTTCAAAGAGACGGTACCGTCTACTAGACTGCCTGTTATACCATAACATTCATATGTAAATCCTACCACGTCGGGTGGTGCCAAGCGAGAAAGGCCATCCTGCGAGAGCGCTTCGTTCGTTTTGTTTCTGCGAGGGTGAATCGTCGTCAAGCCGAGGAAAGTATGTGTTCCTTTAGGACTGATATCAAATACGGCGGATAGATAAAGGCCACCTAAGGCCCAAGGGTTTTTTCCGAGAATCAAACCCTGCGCTGCATATAGCTCCTCCATAACTGACCACGGCAGCCTGATCGCACGAATCACCCTTTCTTTCTCGGGGTTTACCAGCTGATCTAAATCGCAATAGTTGGCAAGGAGGATATCCCTGGGAGCCGAGTGGGAAAGGAGATCGAGGACGTCTAAGTTCAGTTTGAGGACGTCTCCACCATCGTTGAGTACTTTGCTTCCAGCAGATGCTACAGCAAAATGAACAACATCCCTTGACAACGTAGCTCCTGAATCTTTATCGGGGTGGTCAAGATCGATAGGATCCACGAGGGAGCCTACTGTGAAGTAGAGAACACATTCTTGTCGCTGGTGCAAGAGCTGGGGTCTGGTTGCCCACAGACAGTATCTCAAAAAGAGTATTGCTATCTGGACCCCAAGCCATATATAGGCTCGAGGGCTATTTGTGGAACCTAAGACGAGGTAGTTGACGATATAGCCAGCGAGAAGGGCAAGAGCGGCAGCTGCAGACATAATCCGAATGTCTAATCTGTCAGCACTCCTGACTGCCACAAGATCCTCTTGCCAGAGGATCATCGCACTAGGGTGTTGACCTTTAACTGTGACGACGGTGTCTCCAGTCCGCAACGCTGATACATCCTTGAATCGTTGCTCCACTGAAACATCACGGAGGTGGTTGACACCAACGTCGTTTCGAGCCTGGATCACCAGACTCAAACCGCAACACATTAAAGTGCTGCCTACCAGTACTCCCAGTGCCATATTGTTCAAGAGATTGTTCCCGTGTGCACTCCTCAAAATTATGATGGGAACAGCAGTGATAACACCCGTTAGAAAGATACAAACTGCGCGATCGAAGATAACGCGACGAGCTCTTGTGCGAAAAGGACATCGCGAGTAACCCATCACAACGATGTGGGGTCGTATCCAAGGAGCCCCAATGGCGTCGACTTCTCCCAGGATTCGGTTTTGGTCGTCTTGCCACAGCGGCGTGGGATTTGGGATGCCAACAACCCAACGGCTGAGAGCGCTCTTCGTCCTCTTGCTTGTGTAGACGCCGGAACCAGAAAGCTGAATACCCGCGGCCTCGGCGCCAGCCAGGCCCACAGCAATCTTGCTGAATGCACGAACGACACCTAAAATGCCAAAGAGAGACCAGGTGGCCGACATCCGCTCCAGATCGTTAGAGCTAGGATCGCAGAGTTTGTCTTCGACTGTATCAGCAGCGAGAAGGGATAGAATTGCACTCAGGTCTTGAAAATTGCTGACAATGGAAGTTGCGTCAGGATCTTGCGACGCAGCAGCACGTCTGATGATTGGAGTGGCAGAAACCGGCTTGGTTAATGCAAAGAGTGGCATGACCACAGCGTTTAGTATTGACAAGCGCCATGGCCTGGGAGTTCGAGGCGAGCATAAAGTGGGGGGTGCGGGTTGGGAGGAAGTTGGTTGAGTCGGGGGGATGTAACCGCAGTTGTTTTCTTCTGCAGTTAGATGCTGATTAGTTTCTGTGTGGCATTGTAGAGCATCCTGTCGTAATGGATGGACTTGTAGTAAAGCTTGACGCATGAGCCTAGTCTTGGGTCTACGTTGTGATCAACCTCTTAGTTTTGGGATTAAGAGCATACCTTGACGAGATAACTCTACAACGAAAGCGTGAAGGATGAAGATGAAAAAACAAATGAGGCTTCCCTGAGGCGTCAATGAAGTGTTGCAGTGGATTGGATAAGAGATTTACAGCATTCAAACTTTCCACCTTTCTTGCCCCAAACTCCAACCTCGAGGCTCAAAGTTTGGTATCGATGTAAAGACGGTTGCCATGCTTGAGATTACTATCCAAATCGGAGGGTTGGCAGGGGTTGGAACGTTGGCGGCTGGCTTGTGCAGTGTACATCAGAACAGCGACACTTGGGCGACACTGCCCTGCAGATCTTGGACGGTGTCCTGTGCCTGGAGAGGCCTGGAGAGGCGCGTTTAGTCACACGTGACAGATCGTGAAGTACTGCAGTAGTACTGCTCTATGCCTGACCATCGCAAGCCCATTGCTCCCAATCCCCCTCGCTGGAAACCAGCCGCCGATCCAACTACCATAGAGGTCCCGGGTTTGGATACAGACGCGTCAGTTCTTGATCAAATCGAGCAGTTGGAACAGATGATTACCATCAAGCTCCAGGCAAGAGCATTTCGTTCGAGAAGAGATCCATAACTGACGCAAAGCCCAGAATATCGATGAAAACTTTTCCAAGATTCATAATGTTTTGGCAAATAAAGTACTGCCTTCTGTGAAGAGGTACGCGGTTGGGACAGAATCCGTGAGAGAGGCCGCAAAGGTGTGTCATTGAAATTGGGTGTGAGATCCTCTTCGTTTGACCAAGAACCTTCAGTTCTGGACATCGTTCTACGAACAAGCCGCACAAATCCGCATACCGACATACGACGATCACTCAACTGTGAACGATTTGTCTTCAGAGCGAGAAGAAGTCAACGAGGACCAACCAGACGCGTCGCATGTATCGCATTCGCAAAAAGATTATGAACCAAGCATAAACACAGAAAGTTCGTTCTTTCCTGGTCAAGACGCGTTCTCCTCTACTCCAGCTACCGCTCGCGTTGCGAGCACGCAACAGAGCTTCGCCAGTGAGGGTTCCAGTAACTCCTCATGGGCGAATCCACTGGAGTCTCCGCTTGTCCGACTCAGTAGGGAAATTCAAAGTCTCGATGACGACGACGACAATAGCCTTGCTCCCCCGTCTATAATCAACATGACACCGGCCGGACAAGCACCGGACTCTACGTCTGAAATAAGCCAGCGTCAACTAACCGTCTCACAATCCACGAAAGGAAAGGCAAAAGAACCCTCACAGCCCCTCTTGCGAAATGTCCTTCGCCATAATCTTTATTCCGCGAGCGACGCATCTTCATCCGATTTAACGTCGCACAAACCGGTCTCGCCACTCAAATTCAGGACAAAGCCAAAGACACCTGTGCCGAAGACACTTAATCCATACCTTCCACCCAACACTGATCCTGACAAGTGGGATGGCGTGGTTGACCTTCGTGATCCTACAGTCTTGACACCCCAACGTTATGGGAGGGCATATTCAAAGCATAAAGCTGCCAAGGAATCGGATGATGATGATGATTCATTTGACGGACTGCCACAGGGCATGTCACCACCCGTATTGATGTCACCAGCTCGACCTCCAAGGTCACTAGCGGAGCTCGGACTTCTCAAGCTTGGACAAACTCCTACTAAAGAGGCGTCAGCGCGAATTGCGCGAGATTTGGTCAAAGATGCACAGATGAGGAGCGGTCAAATGCGACACCTCTATGGATATCCTAACAGCGGCGTTGAATCAAGCATGAGCACCGTGCCGACTCCTCCCTCGCTGTCTCGCTATAATCGAGAAAGCAGTACCAGCGTCAGTCTCGCTGATTCGAGTTTTGATAGCATGGTTCGCCGTGTGGGGCTAAATGTTCCCAGTGTATCTAGACTGGGCTCGACACCTGGGCTGCGCCTCAAAACCAAGGCTCCACTCAATCAAGAAAGGGACGAGAGTCTACAACGAGATGACAGCATGTTGACTCCCCTTGACAGAGGAGTACTTTCGACATCTGATTATGATCAGCCGCACCATGATATCGACTCGGATTCCGATTCTCTTGACGAGATCAATAACACAGCGCACCCTTCTGCGGCTTTTCTCATGGCTTCACAGGGCAGGAGAGGAGGTGACGACTCCTTTGGGTCTTCCAATCACTCCAGCGATTCCCTGACGGACGAAGACGCCGATAATGGCTTAGTACCCATACATCCATTTGCAAATGCGGTGGAGGATGATGGATTTGACGACGATGAGTCGTTTGACGGTTTTGATGGCAATGCTGGAGGCGGGGATTTTGTGGAGGAAACAGTCTTTGGCGTTGCCCCGGCTCAGAGAATAGCTGCGCAGGCCGCTGCTGCTGCACATCGTCAACAAGGTGGATTGAGGATGCTGGGTGAGGATTTGTTGCAGGACACTCTAAATATTGGGGCTAGAGTCGAGGAAAGTCCTACACCCGCGTGGGGGGGAGGTTATAGAGCATGATAACACCCACCATCACAGTCCATTGAAGTTAAGCAGGCCTTACCGTTGCTTTTAACTGGCTTCTACAACGATGTATATTATTACCATTTGGCACAAGCGCCAGGCCTGGGCGTTTATTAGGCGCTGCAATTGTTTGGTCCTGCATCTGCTGCGTTCCTGCCAAGCTTCCTCCTCCTCAGATCGCAGATGGACTGACTTGGGATTGACCAAGGATTGACCAAAGTGAACCATGATTCAGCGCAGTTCAGCGCTCAGAATTCCTCTTAGTATCTCACAGAGATGAGAGCTGGAACGACGAAAGATTTCGTGAGTGAAGTACGGCTCTCAACCAACTCTGAATCCACTAATCGACAATTTTCCCTAGACCATGAAAAGGATTTCGTCGAACCCCAGTCAAATTGGGAATCTCATTGTCGTCCTGATATTTTTTCTTGTGGTGTCATCGACTCCGAGTCCTTTTGCCCATGCTCGGTTCACGACAGCGACATGCGTTGGGACAGAGTGCATACAACAGAACGCTGCGGGAGCTTGGTGCTATATACCCGTCTCTGACTTGACGCGAGACACTTCTTGCAATGGAGGCGGTAGCGAGAGCCCGGAATTTGCGACTGTTTTGGAGGTCCACCTGGCTCAGAGCCTGTCCATTGCCTACTACAACGGTGTCGACAATACTTTTTTGGGTGGCGCCAATTATCCCATCTCTGCCAACCCAGGCATTATCCGTCTTTGTGCGTCGGGAATGTCGGGCGACGGAAAATTGCAGACCTTGTGCGTAAACGCTGTTGCGGACAATGCATTCGCCAACCGTCCATACTGCCACGTTCTTCGAGGTCAGAATAATGTCAGCGATGGCTGTTACAATCCAAACCAGGTCGTCCACTCCCCGACTGTAACTACCTCTTACGCGTCTTTTAGGGGGGGTCCAACCGTCACCGTCACCGTCACCCAGTCCAGTGACGCCCGGATAAATACTGTCCTTACGTTCGGGGTGTTGCTTTTGGCAATTATGGTCGGTGTAGCATGTTGAAGCTTTGAAGCTGTAGAAGGTTGACAGCAACGCCCCTCATCACCCTTCCCTGTTGCGTTCCCGAATCCGAATCTCATTAGACGCCCTCGTGCCTGGTGATACCATATCATTTCTACCTGTAGATTTCTCTTGTCCAGCTGTCGCCGCAGACCATCAAAAACAAGTTTTCGACAGCTTCGAAATGATGTCAAGAAATCGTCTGGCTATGAGGCGATGTCAGGGCGATGTGAGCAGATTTACCGCATCCTGAAGTTGGACGATCTTGGATTTCACACCCTGCCAACGCGTCCTTCGCTTCCAAACGCCTACAGATCACGACAGGCTGAAGACCATTAACGAGGCCTCATCGAAAAGTCTGGTACGTCAGGTGGCACGGATTTTTCATAGATTCAACATGACATCTTCCACAGCTGCCTTATTCCATGTTTGTGGACATTCGGATGTTGTTCATAACTTTTTGGACTCTGGTCGCTGTGCAGGTGTGATTTAACCTGGAAGCATGCTAGTGCATCAAGCAGAACGGCAGGGTACTTCGTGCTATTTCTCGCGAAACTCGAGTCACGGTTTGCGATAGTGGGGGGTAGACTTGACCAGGGTACTTGGCGTTCATCGACGTCAAGGACTTTTGATTGCGTATTACAACGGAGTGGACAATACGCTGCTTGGTGGTGCCGACTGGCCGCTCGTATAGAATCCTGGGGTTATCCGTCTGTGCGTTTCAGCTGCCACGGGGGCGGCTCCATACCAAATTTTATGTTTGAACGCTGTTGCGGATAATAACCTATCCAATTCACCATATTGTAAAGCTGCAGTGGGGCAAGACAACGTAACAGACGGCTGTTACATATATCATTCGACGACCGCCACACCAACCTCGAACTATCCAAATGAGGCCAGTGGCCTCAGACTGCATTCCAATCTTGCCGTGGTCAACGACTTGGTGCTTTTCTTCAGCACTTTGCTGGCCTCTTTATATTCGCTATGTATGATTCAATTGTGAACGGTGACACGCTGTGCATGTTGGACGAAGACAAAGAATGCTGTGCTTGCTGTTGACTGTCATTCATTTAATTTTCTGTAAGTTGACGAACCCTGCCAGTTGGAACTATTTTTGACATTTGTACCTGCAGGGTACGAGGCTATGTGCCAGAATGGGTCAATCAAAGTCAATCAACCTGGATGTTGTGTGGCCAGCTCTACACTGACTGTTCCTTCCCCCGTCATTGTTCGGTAGATTGCACGGGTCATTATACCCCTACACCCATTTTGTATACCCTCCAATCATCCCGGTACGCGCAATTACGATGCTTTCACCTTGTCATCCGACTTACACACGTCTCCTCCCAGATCTTTAACCGCATGTAATGGGTGTGCGCGTACCAATCCACTCGATTGGGTCAACGCTTCTACTCTGTCTGCTAGTATCCTTGTCACAAGGACTCTTTACCCAAACCACATGCTGGGGGAGTGAATGTGTACAGCGGAAGGAAACAGGAGCATGGTGCTACGTCCCAAAATCCGGGGAAACGGCGTTGCTGGATTGCAAAGGGAGCCAAACTGACCTCCAATCAGTCATGAATGTGCACCTTGCACAGGACCTATCTATTGCCTACTATAATGGGGTGGACAACAGCCGGTTTGGAGGAGCGTCTTGGCCAGTACCTGCGAACGGTGGTGTTGTACGCCTCTGCGTTTCTGGTTACGCCGGAGATGGAACCCTCCAAACATTGTGCGTGAACGTCAATGCAGATAATTCAATTCAGGGGAGTCCATATTGTGAAATTGCGGATGGCCCGCACGTCGTGAGCGATGGATGTTACACGTTCAAACCGACTTTCACACCTGTCATACAAAGTCCCACCAACTCGCCTCCTCCATCATCTACTAATTCGCCATCCTCGACTACGTCATCGACCAAGTCTTCTACAAGTTTTTCCACCTCAAGTTCTTCGTCGAGTTCTTCTTCAAGTTCAGGATCGTCATCGTCCACAACGTCGTCACGAACATCATCCTCTCCTTCTCCTTCACTAACCCAACCCTCCTCAAATTCGAATTCCTCAAGTAACGCCGCAAACAATATGAAGGATATCGGAGTTCCTATCATAGTTGCCGTTCTTGGGGTACTCGCGGCATATGTGGGGGCGCGCAAGTGGGGTGGAAGAAGGGCTCGGAATCAGGCTGCAGCTGCAGCACAGCAACAGCAAGCGCACCAGCAGCCAATGCAACAACCAGGGCATCAACAGCCAATGCAACAACCAGCGTTTCAACAGCCCATACAACAACAAAACCCACCTCCGGAACAGGCACGTCCAGCGTTCTATGGGATCAGTCCATTCGGACGATATTCAGATGATTCGTTATGATTCGATTGCACAGTGTTGACGGCCATATGGTCTCCACACATCTATCCTACTAGCAAACTTCAAAGCAATGCATGGCCTCCAGCTAGCTTAAAGTCAATTATATTGTATGGATTATGCGAACAAGCACAATTATCCATCTATGTCTGTTCAATGTGGTGTGCGACAGTGGGGAGAAGGTTAAAGAGGACGTATAGGGTATAAGACGGCAAAGCAAGGTGAACAGCTACAACAACAGATCGAGAAAAAAGGGGGACTGGAGAAGGAATAAGTTACCTGGATGATGAGAAGAAGAATGTTGCACGACAATGTCCCAGCGAGGCCTAAGGGGGAAAAAACTGGGAGCAGGTATGTATAACAGGAATGAATCGCGCCAGCGGATTCGGGAAACTGAAACACGCTGAAAATGAAGTTACTGAATCCTCCTCCATCTCAGAATGGCTGCGTGTAAGGGCTGTACACAGAGAACGCGCGTGATTGGGGTCAAGAAACCGGCAGGCTGGGGTAGCGGCTTGGGGCTGGGGAAATCCAGGCAGGCACATACGACGAGGCCGAAACGCGAGGGCTGGTGTAGCCTGGGTGTAGCTTTTCGTCGTCTGAAGACTTCTAACGTGAAGATGCTGAAGGTTAGAGCGTTGCGTTGCGTGATGGACTTGGCTCAACCGTTGCTTAGGGTGGCGCTTACGTCTCTTCGCCTATTTTCGAGGCAACTTTTCAACTTCAGGCTATCGCAATTCCCGTGCTAAGTACGATGCCCGCTGTAGGACAGGAAGACCGTGGGTGAATGGATGCCCTGTTGACGTCGAACAGGTGCTGATGCTTCCCGCAGCGTCGAAGGAGTGGCCCGAGTGGGTAATACAGCCCAAGCCTAAAGCTCCCAGGTTGGATGTGGTCTCCTCCTCACATCGACAAAATGGCCCCCCTCACCCTCCCTCCCTCGAGAAATGGCGAACGGCCTCCTCCCTCGAAGAGCGGATCGGCGGCAGTTCGGACTCTCGAAATACGGAACGTCCTCGTTTGCGTGGAAAAAGATCAGCGTGACCGATCTATGACGAGAGATCTCGGTAAGGGAAGGAGGCACCGACCTGCACCTGCCACCGACGGGAAGAGGAAAGCGTCACCAGGCCTCATCCGAACAGCCCTCGCGCGGATGGTGGCGACAAGGGAAACAAACATGCTGCAAAAAAACCCATCCACTGAAGATGAAAGTGGGAACAGCATGAACCAAACAGAGGCGGAGAAGGCAAATGGGAGGAGGAGGGGCGGAATTCACACAGGTATGTTTCCCCATACACACAGAAAAATCTAGATCAACAACTCGCATCACGGCTTGAAGCGGAGGAGACTGCACAGGACTGCGCAGGATCATAAGAGGCCTGAGGAGAAATGAAAGATCAACTTCTCCCGAGGATTCGTGAGAATGTCCTCCCAAGACGGACTGGCAGAAGTAAACGTTCACCGCTCAGCGTTCTTTTTACACAGAGATGAGAGCTGTAACAACGAAAGAATTTGTGCGACTCTCACCCAACTTTGAATCCACTAATCGACAATTTCCTCTAGAAAAAAAATCGTCGAACCCCAGTCATACTATCTCCTTGTCGATCTCGGTGAACCCTGGCAGGCGGAACTATTTCTCACTCTCGTTCATGCAGGGACGAGGACAACGCTATCTATGGACCGGATCTCTTATGAGGCAAAGCAACCCGATTGTCTCTTCCCCCGTCACTGTTCGCGAAATTGCACTGGGCATTATACTCCTACACCCATATTGTATATCCTCTGGTCATCCTGGTATGCACAGTGACGATGCTTTCACCTTCCCATTCAACTTACACACATCTCCTCCTAGATCTTCAACGCATGTAATGGGTGTACGCGTTCCAATCCACTCGATTCGATCAACGCTTCTCCTCTGCTTGTGCTTGTCCTCCTCACATGGACTCTTTACCCAAAACACATGCTGGAATGGTGAATGTGTCCAGCGGAAGGAGACAGGGACATGGTGCTACGTCCCAAAAGCCGGGGAAACAGCATTGCTGGATTGCAAAGGGAACCAAAGTGACCTCCAATCAGTCATGAATGTGCACCTCGCACAGAATTTATCTATTGCCTATTATAACGGGGTGGACAACAGCCGGTTTGGGGGAGCATTTTGGCCAGTACCTGCGAACGCTGGTGTTGTACGCCTCTGCGTCTCCGGTTACGCTGGAGACGGAACCCTCCAAACATTGTGCGTGAACGTCGATGCGGATAACTCAATTTCTGGGAGTCCATATTGTGAAATTCTGGATGGCCCGCACGTCGTGAGCGATGGATGTTACACCTACCAAACAACTCTCACGCCTGTCATACAAACTATCATCAACTCACCTCCACCATCATCTGCTAATCCGCCGCCAACCACGTCTCCTCCAAGTTTTTCCACCTCGAGAAGTTCATCATCATCGTCAACAACATCATCGCAAACGCCGTCCTCTTCCTCACCTTCACCAACCGAAACCTCCTCAAATGCAAAGTCCTCGAGTAACCCCCCAAACTATTTGATTGCTGTCGGAGTTCCTCTCATCGTTGCCGTTATTACTGCACTCGCGGTAATTGTTGGAAGGCGCAAGTGCAGAAGAAGGTCTCGGAATCGGGCTGCAGCCGTAGCCGCTGGCGGTGCACAGCACCAGCAAGTCCAGCTGCAGCCAATGCAACAACCAGGGCATCAACAACCAATGCAACAACCAGAGTTTCAACAGCCGATGCAGCACCAATACCCACCTCCGCAAGAGCCACGACCAGTATATGGGTTTGTCAGATGATTCGTTATGATTCGATTGAATAGTGTTGACTGCCATAATGATCTCCCCACATTTATCCTAGAGAACCATTTACAGCCACGACCAGCGTTATATACGATAGAATGGTGTTGAGTGCCATAATGATCTCCCCACATTTATTCTAGCAAACCGTTTACAGCCACGACCAGCGTTATGTACGATTGAATAATGTTGACTGCCATAATGATCTCCACACATTTATCCTAGCGAACCGTTTCAATAGAACAAAGTAATGCATGTCCTTCAGCTAGCTAGAGTCAAATATATTGTATACATTATCCGAACAAGCAAAACGGGCTACCAAAGCGTATGGCACACTTATCCATCTATGTTTGTTTATGTGGTGTACGACAATGGGAAGGGTAAAGGTTGGTATGTGTGCGTCAAGGACGTATAGGGTATAAGATGGCAAAGCAAGGTGAACAGCTACAACAACAGATCAAGGGAAACCGGGAAGGGCAAAGCAAGGTGAAGAATAGCTACAACAACAGATTAAAAAAACGGGAAACTGAGGAAACAAGTTACCCAGTGGACGATGAGAAGACAATGTCTCGTCGAAGCCTAAGGAAAAAAAAAAACTGGGAACAGGTATAACAGGGATGACCGCACCAGCGGATTTGGGAAAGAAACACGCTGAAAATGAAGTTACTGAATCATCCTCCAACTCAGAATGGCTGCAGATAAGGGCTATACACAGAGAACGCGCGTGATTGGGGTCGAGATACCGGCAGGCTGTACGAGGCTTGAGGAATTAGACCCATGGCTTTGCTGGAATGACGGGGGTGTCTTTCCAACCCCCTACTTCGCTTGTGGACTCGTCTGAATTTTCGGAGTCTTCATTGCTCTTTGAGCCGCGCTGGGGTGAATGGCAGCTGATAGTGTCTGGACGCGCCAAGGACCGCTCCAGGGCGAGTGGTGGTTGTGATGGGAGGTGACTTGATTCTTCAAAGACGCCTGGCGTTCGAAACTAAGGGGGCTGAGTGAGCACATCTCAGAAAAAAGGACGAGAAGGATGGAAGTGTTACCCATGCCATGTCTCGCTCTTGTGCGCGAAGTCCTCATCAAGAGAGACAATTAAGAACTCGCTTATCTGTTCGTCGTCCGAAGACTTCTTGTCCCTTGGTCGACGAGACGAGTGGTGATGATGATCCTGTAGGTGAAGATGAACGCCGTCGAACTTTGTCTGCTTCGAGTATGGTGTACATACGCTCCTTGTCTGCGCTGCATCGACCGGACTTTAAGGACTTGCTGGACCGAGTCTCGGCGGAGATAATACCTAGTTTGTTTGGATTCCTGCACCACGAATTCGCCACTTTTGGTCACTTTCTCTTTACAAAGCAACGGCTTGCCGTTTTTCAAGCAGTACTGGACAGTTTTGGTGTCAATTTTATGCCAAACATGTGAGAAGTCCCGCCCTGACGTCTATATCTACGGGTTTTGCCCCCGGCAGGCTATGAGTTATGGGTTGTTGCGGTTGTATGGGTTATGATGTCATTTTAAACGTTTTGGATTTGGAGGGGTATGGGTGATGTGAGCCATGGGCTAACAGGGCGTCGTCTGTAGTATCCTCCGGACACATAGACCACTGGTGCTGGCTGTGGCAGGTATGGGGAGAAATAATACCCTGGAGGTGGCAGTGGCAGAGGCGAGGATAAATGATATCCTGGAGATGGCAGTGGCAGGGGTGAGGATAAATGATACCCTGGAGATGGCAGTGGTGGCCAAAACGCTGCTAGTTGCATTGATGCTCGTTGAATCTGCTGCTGGTACGCGTGCTGCTGCTGGTACGGGTAGGCGTGCTGCTGGTACGGGTAGGCGTGCTGCCGCCGTGCATCATGTGCTGCTGCAGCCCGATTTCGAGACCTGTTGCGCCACATGCGCGGTCCAAAACATACCCCGACTAGCCCAATAACGGCACTTATGATGGGAACTCCAATATAAATCATCTTGTAATTTCCTGGAAAAATTGGATTTGAGGAGGCTACCACCGGTGAAGGAGGAGAGGATGATGTTTCCGACGATGTTGATGACGATGACGATGATGAACTTGAAGTAGAAGAGCTTGAAGGCGACGTGGTTGATGACGTAGTCGAATTAGTAGACGGTGGTAGAGGCGCGGCAGTTTGTATGACGGCTATGATAGGAACTCCGGTGTTCTTCATACTGTCAAAGGGGTTTCCTGAGGAATTTGGATCCGAGCAGGCTTCCGTTGGCGAAGGTGAAGGGGATGTTTCCCTTGAGATTGCTGTAGTAGATTGTATGACAGGCGTGAAAGTTGGTTCGTAACATCCATCGCTCACGACGTGCGGGGCATCCGCAATCTCGCAATATGGACTCCCCGAAATTGTATCATCCTCATTGACGTTCACGCACAATGTTTGGAGGGTTCCGTCTTCGGCGTATCCGGAAATGCAGAGGTGCACAACACTGGTGGTTGCAAATACTGGCCAAGACGCTCCTCCAAACCGGCTGTAATCCATTCCGTGATAATAGGCAATGGATAGGTCCTGTGTGAGGTGCACATTCATGACTGATTGGACGTCACTTTGGCTCTCTATGCAATCCAGTAACGCTGTTTCCCCGGATTTCGGGACGTAGCACCATGCTCCTGTGTCCTGCTGCTGAACACATCCACTCCCCGAGCATGTGCTCTGGGTAAAGAGTCCATATGAGAATGAAGGGAGCACAGAGAGGAGAAGTATTGATCCAATCAAGTGGACTACGCGCACACCCATTACAAATGGTTAAAGATCTTGGAGGAAATGTGTGTTAGTCAAATGAGAAGCTGAAAGCATCGTAACTGAGCATACCGGGATGACTGGAGAGTTGAGTGTAGTGGCAGAATGTCACCATCAATCTAGCGAATACTGGATTGGTATCGTGGGAAGGTCGAGCTGTTATGCTCGACCAAGGTGATATATCCCATACCCTGGGCAGTCCGCGGAAGGGTATGGGTTCAGAGGGAGTCGACTGTATTCAAATTATTGGCCATGACAGTGTTGACGCCAAGTTGACGCCCATAATGATCTCCACGCGTTTATCTTAAGGGTAAGTAAGTAGAAGAACCCTTACTTGTCGTCCAATGTCAGCTGACGTGACTTTGGTGTGACCTCCCCAATACGTAATCTTAGCGTACATTCTGTGCTCCACTTGTGCTCCATCGGAGTCCACCCTACATCATACAACATTGGAAGATGAAGCAAAACATCGTAAGGTTTCGCAAACCTTACAAAGCCCACAAGGTCAACTTGAGGTCAACCAAGGTTGTTGTTATTTTGCTGATGGTTCAGCGTTTTTTAAATTTTCTCACAGAGATGAGAGCTGGAACGAAAGAATTCGTGAGTGAAGTACGACTCTCAACCAACTCTGAATCCACTGATCGACAATTTCCTCTAGACCATGAAAAGGATTTCGTTGAACCCCAGTCATATTGGGTATCTCCTTGTCGTCCTGATATTTTCTCTTGTGGTGTCATTGAGTCCTACTTATTGCCCATGCTCGGTTCACGACAACGACATGCATTGGCGCAGAGTGCATACCACAGAACGCTGCAGGAGCTTATACACCCGTCTGGCTTGACACAGGCCACTTTTTGCAATGGAGGCAGTGACGAGAGCACGGACTTTGCCACTTTTTGGAGGCTCACTTGGCTCAAACCCTGTTTATTGCCTACTACTATGGTGTCGACAATACTTCTTTGGGTGGTGCTAACTATCCCATCCCTGCCAACCCGGGCGTTATCCGTCTTTGTGCGTCGGGACGGTCGGGCAACGGAAACTTGCAGACTTTGTGCGTAAACGCCGTTGCGGACAATGCGTTCGCCAACTCTCCATACTCCCACGTTCTTCGAGGTCAGAATAATGTCAGCGATGGCTGTTACCAACCGAATGAGGTCGTCCAGTGTCCGACTATAACTACCTCTTACGCGTCTTGTGGGATCACGGGGAGGAGTCCAACCGTCACCGTCACCGACACCCGATCTAGTGGTGCCCGGATAAATACAGTCCTTACAATCGGGGTGTTGCTTTTGGCAGTTATGGTCGGTGTAGCATGTTCTAAAGCTTTGAGGTTGCAAAAAGTTAACGACATCGCCCTTTCCTGTTGCGTTTCCAGATCAGTTTTGAGTATTGGGCGCCCTTCTGCCAGGGCCTATCATTTCTACCTGTAGGGACTCTTTGGGGATTCCTATTGTCCACCTGTCGCCGCTGACCATCGAAAACGTGTTTTCGACGACTTAGAGACGATGTCAGGGCGATGTGATCAGATTTACCGAAATCTAAAGTTGGACGATCTAGGGTTTCACTTTCACACCCTGTCAATGCCTCCTTCGCTCCCAAACGCCTACAGAGCACGACAGGCTGAAGAACATAGTCGGGGCGTCATTGAAAAGTCTGGTGCGTCAAGTTGGACGAGTCTTGCATACGTTCAACATAACGTCTTCTCCAGGTGCCTTACTCCATGTTTGTGAACATTCAGACGCTGTTCATATTTTTTTGGACTCCGGTCACTTTGCAAGCGCGATTCAACCTGGACACATGCTGGAGTAGAGACTGCATTAAGCAGAACGGCGAGGGCACCTGGTGCTATTTCCCACCTCCAGGCGAAACTCGAGCGACTGTTTGCGATAGTGGGGGCGCAGACTTCACCGCGGTACTTGGCGTTCATAAACGTCAAGGACTTTCGATTGCGTATTACAATGGAGTGGACAATACGCTGCTTGGTGGTGCAGACTGGCCTCTCCCAGCGAATCCTGGGGTTGTCCGTCTGTGCGTTTCAGGTGCCACAGGAGCGGGGACATACCAGACTTTATGTGTGAATGCTGTTGCGGATAACACTCTATCCAATTCACCGTATTGTCAAGTTGCACTGGGGCAAGACAACGTAACAGATGGCTGTTACATACATTCGACGACCGCCAGCAAGGCGACTGCCACACCAACCTCGAACGCCTTGGTGCTTTTCTTCAGCACTTTATTGGCCTCTTTACATTCACTATGTATAATTTAATTGTGAACGATGACCACGATGTGCATGTTGGACGAAGAATCTCGAAGAATGCTGTGCTTGCCGTTGGCTGCCTGTCATTTAATTTTCTGTAAGTCGGCGCTTCCTGCCAGTTGGAACTATTTTTTACTTTCGTACCTGCAGGGTACGAGGCATGCACCGAATTCAGATGAATCAACCAACCTGAATGTTGTCAAAGCAGCTCGACTCTGACTGTCCTTCCCCCGTCACTCCTTCCCCCGTCACTGGTCGCTAGATTGCACGTAACATTATACCCCTACACCCATTTTGTATACCCTCCAGTCATCCCGGTATGCGCAGTTACGATGCTTTCACCTTCTCATCCGACTTACACACATTTCCTCCCAGATATTTAACCGCATGTAATGGGTGTGCGCGTACCAATCCACTCCATTGGATCAACGCTTCTCCTCTGTCTGTTCTTGTCATTCTCACATGGACTCTTTACCCAAACCACATGCTGGGGGAGTGAATGTGTCCAGCGGAAGGAAACAGGAGCATGGTGCTACGTCCCAAAATCCGGGGAAACGGCTTTGCTGGATTGCAAAGGGAGCCAAACTGACCTCCAATCAGTCATGAATGTGCACCTCGCACAGGACCTATCTATTGCCTATTATAGCGGGGTGGACAACAGCCGCTTTGGAGGAGCGTCTTGGCCGGTGCCTGCGAACGCCGGTGTCGTACGCCTCTGCGCTTCCGGTTACGCCGGAGACGGAACCCTCCAAACATTGTGCGTGAACGTCAATGCGGATAATTCAATTTCTGGTAGTCCATATTGTGAAATCGCGGATGGCCCGCACGTCGTGAGCGATGGATGTTACACGTACCAACCAACTTTCACGTCTGTCATACAAACTACCACCAACCCACCTCCACCGTCATCTACTAATTCGCCACCAACCGGGTCTCCTCCAAGTTTTTCTACCTCAAAATCCTCGTCAAGTTCATCGTCATCGTCAACAAGATCGTCGCAAACGACATCCTCTTCTTCACCTTCATCAACCGAAACCTCCTCAAATCCGAATTCCTCAAGTATCCCCTCAAATAATTTCATTACCATCGGAGTTCCTATCATAGTTGCCGTTATTGGGGCATTCGCAGTAATTGTTGTGGCAATTATTGGAAAGTGCAGCTGGGATAGAAGGTCTCGGAATCGAGCTGTACAGCAACAGCAGGCGGACCAGCAGCCAATGCTGCAACCAGGGCATCAACAGCCAACGCAACAACCGGGGCATCGGCAGCCAATACGACAACCAAAGAGGCAGGACCAATACCCACCTCCGCAACAGCCAGCGTTCTATGGGGTCGTCAGATGATTCGCAATGATTCGATTGAATAGTGTTGACAGCCATAATCTTTTCCATACGTTTATCCTAGCGAACTTGTGTAATAGAAGAAAGTAATGCATGGCCTTAAAGTCAATTATATTGTATACATTATCCGAACAAGCGGAACGGGCTACCGAAGCGTATGGTACAATTATCCATGGATGGTTTGTTTATGTGGTGTGTGTGACAATGGGAAGGGTAAAAGGTGGGTGGGTATGTGTGCGTCAAGAAGACGTATAGGGGGTATAGGATGGCAAAGCAAGGTGAACAGCTACAACAACAAATCGAGAAAAGCAGGGAAACTGGAGAAATAAGTTACCCAGTGAATGATGAGAAGAAATGTTGTACGACAATGTCTCAGTGAGGCCCAAGAGAAGAAAAAAAAGGAAACAGGGATGAACCGCACCAGCGGATCCGGGGAAAGAAACACGCTAAAAGTGAGGCTCTCGAATCCCCTCTCCATTTCAGTATGGCTGCGTATAAGGGCTATACACGGAGAACGCGCGTGATTGGGGTCGAGAAACCGGCAGGCTGGGGTGATGACTTGGGACCGGGGAAATCCAGGCAGGCACATACGACGAGGCCGAAACGCGAGGGCTGGTGGTGTAGGTTCCTCGGGGTATCACAGGGGGAGGGGGACCTGGAGGGGGAGAGTACGCAGCCGCAGCCCTCATGAGTTCCACCGGTATAGTGACTGGAGAGTCGTAGTACGAGGCTCGGGGGATCAGACCCATGGCTTCCATCAGTGGCTTTGCTGGAATGACGGGGGAGTCTTTCCAACCCCCTACTTCACTTGTGGCTTCGTCGTCTGAATTTTCAGAGTCTTCGTTGATCCTTGAAGCGCGCGGTGGATGGCGGCTGATGGTATCTGGACGCGCCAAGGGACCGCTCCAAGGCGAGTGGCGGTCATATTGGGAGGTGACTTGATTCTTCAAAGACGCCTGGCGTTCGAGACTAAGGGAGCTGAGTGAGCACATCTCAGACTAAAAGGACGAGAAGGATGGAAGTGTTACCCATGCCATGTCTCTCCCTTGTGTGCAAAATTCTCATCAAGAAGGACAATCAAGAAGTCGCTCATCTTTTCGTCGTCGTCTGGAGACTTCTTGTCGCTTCGTCGACGAGACGAATGGTGATGATGATCATCTCTGTCTTTGTCTCTGGGAGAAGATGAACGGCGACGTCGCTTATTCGAGTCTCGATCTCTTTCTCTCGAACTTTGTCTACTTCGAGTGGAGGGTGTACGCTCCTTGTCTGTACTGTATCGACCGGACCTTGAAGACTTGCTGGACTGAGTCTCAGCCGAGGTAATGCTTGCCGAAGATTTCATGAGCGGCGTGAGGCCTGATGGCCTGATTGATCAATAGCACATGAGTTTCATCAATGTTACCTGGGTCATATTCGACTTACTGTTCTTGATGGATGACGGCGGGCACGGTGGTGTTGATGACGAGTTGTTCAGTTTGAGGTTGGGTGACTGCCAAGGCTGAGTAAATGAAACGTCACATAAACAAGAAGTCAAACGTGCCCGCTTGAACTCCTTCTACCACAGTCGCCAGCGCAACATTAGCTTGAGGCACGGTAGTTTCTAATACGGAGTGAGTTTGAAGTCCCCTTGAGAAAACTGATACCATACCTAAGATGGACATCCTTGAATACGTCAAATCAGCAAATGTAAACCTGGTCTTGGAGAACAACATACATAGAGTTCCGATCCGGATTCGTGAGTCTGAGGGGAACTGATGGAGAGGGCGTCAGACGTGTTCATCAGGTCCTCCAATCAAACTCACGTCGGTTACCCGTTGGAACACCCCTCACAAAGTTCAGGTATGGAAGGGAGATGACACTGTCCGTCGCAGATCTAAAAATACCTTGTCAGATCGAAAGCAAAACGATATATATGGGAATATACATACACCGGAGGCTCGGGGATTGAAAGGTTCTCTGGAAAGCAGGTGAATGTATTGATTAGCTCTCTGTTTGAGATAGGAAGATGGGGTAAATGATCTCACTTGAGTCTGATATGGGTTTCTCGGGAGCAGAGACGAGGACTTCTGATGGAGGACGCGACTTTCGACCACTATTCCTCTCTGTAGTTTGACGGGATACTGCACTGCCAGTGATGGACCTGTAAAAAGGCGCAAAATGAAGGGCGTTTAGTGTTGAAGAGGAGAAGGACGAACGGGTATCGCTTGTAGTCCCTATCTAATTTTTTGGCCACTCTCCTGAACTCGTCGTCCAATAAAGAGATCCTTCGTGCTACAGAATGACGCGATTCAGGTTACGAGAGTTAGGTGGAGTAATGGAGTTTACGATTCAATCGCCTAGTCCTCTCCGCCTAGCCTGAGAATGAGATATATTTAAGAGAATGAAGATGAGCAAACTTACCGTGCTGCCTCTCCAAGTCATATAATAATCAACCACCTTCCGTTGAATGTCCCAAGCAGTGATAGCAAAGACGACCGGTGTCCAATCCTGACGCGTTTCCTTGTCCAATTCCCCTCGTAGACCCTTGGTTTCCAGTGCCTCCTCCTCCCTACGAACACCCAAACACCATGGGAAAAAGAATACACGTCAAACGATGCCCAGAACTTACTCGACATAATTCTTGAAGAACCTCTCCGCCTCGCCGCCCGTCAAGATCTTGACATATTTGTTGCCAACACGTTCCGCCATGCCTTCCAGGAACTCTGGAGAGCACTTTCCATGGCGAACCCGCTCACCAGCAATGATGCGAAGAGTGTCAATGGGGCTGGACTCCTTCGAGAGCTGGGATGATCGACTCTTGATTGATGCATCGTCCCTATCGTTGATAGTATCAGGCTTGGGCGATGATGACCGCCTGAGGTTCTTCTTCAAACTTTCGGTGACTGAGCCAGCTCTGGAGGCGACGTAGGCTGGCAATGCAGATGGAGACATATGCCAGGCTTGTTGAAGAAGGGTTTGGCTTGAAATCGGTCGGGTATCTAACCAAATCGATGAGCTGAGAGGCCTCGCGGAGTCCTCAAGGCTTTGGTGAAGGGCAAAAGGGGAATAAAGCTGTAGAGAACGAAGGGGAAGGTGAAGAGTTGGAAATGTACAGCCGGCAACGCCACACGGTTATAAGCAGAAGTGGGGGATGTAAAGCTGATACACCAAAATGGCCTAGTACTCCATAAATACTCATGGACTTGTTAAGGTGCCGAAACCATGCGCCCTGCCGATGTCTTTCCTAGGCGCTTAACAATAGCGCTAAGCGATAACAAAGAAACCGTGCAAACCATGCGCTCGATCAGCGACATAAAGGAGAGCGACCGTGGCAAGGGTAAAGTCAGTATAAAGCCCTTAAATTAAGCGGAGAAAATCCACAACAACGAGGGTATCCCTGAGAAGGTATGTACATGTATGGGGTAATCAGATAAAACTAGTGACCAGAGCGTGGTAGTCGATGTGGGGGGGCGACTCGGAGCTTACACCTATGAACAATGTAGTGTTTATGAGGTGTGGAAGCAATACCGGATCAAAAACACTTACCAGGCTGAGCTCCAATGTCCACACACGACGCGCCCACAATTTTATAGTGAGGGCAGGCTCCTCACCCACAGCTGGGAGCTCAACATCCAGACCATCCCACCAGCATTTCCTCTAATAGTCTCATCAGCAAGGATAACTGCAATACAACGATCAACACATACAGCAGGTTTTCTCCAGAACAGCAGCAATTTCTGCGCAGTAGCCATTTGCGGATAATCCACCTCAACTGGCTTTTCCCCGTTGGGATGATGTTGAATACCCGTCTTAAGGAGAACAAGGGCTATAGATGAGATGCAGCAACGCGACGGCTCCAAGGCTCGGAAACCCCATTCGTCCTCGCGGTCGAAGCCGCTACGTGCACACCAGACAAAGAAGAAGAACAAAGCGCAACACCCATCAGCTCACGCCTCCCAAAACAACCATGCGACTCACCTCATGCAGAGCATGTCAATCAAATGCTGTTCAGCAACATTATTCTCCTTGTTCACATTCCGCTGAAGCGCCGTGAATATATTCCTTTTTTCCATGAGATAGTCACCCGACCTGCGCTTAATACCCAGCAAACGATCATTAGCAATCCCATTCTGGTCAGTCGTCGGGTTGCCGTCCTTCGGCGGTATAGAAAAATATTCCAGCTCTTCGCGCAGCACGATGATAGCTTGCTTCGAAAGCAGTGGATTTTGTGATGTGGCAGGGTAGTCGGGCGTGGGGGAGTCCAGGAGGTGCTGTTGTGCACTCAGCAGGCCTGGGGATGTCGAAGTACCATAGAACGTTTCTGACGCGTTGCGGAAGAATGTGAGAACGTATTGGAAGCAATCTGGATCAAACTGCAACGAGGGGAGCGAGTTAGTCGCCTGCAGCCCATCCATGAATAACATAGGAATCACGCACATCGACTCCATACACCTCTTCATCCTCGTCATCACCTCCTCCATCCGTCAAAGCGACACTCTGTCGACTGAGAACGAGCCCATTGGGGAACAGACACAGCAGAACCGATTCTGGCAAGTTCATTATTGTTTCTCGGTCGACCTCAAACCGCCTGCCACGCAGGTCGAGGAACAGCCTGGTCAGGAGCTGGGGCTGTAGATTCGTGTGTGTCGGGCCATTTTGCGAGACCTGCGTTATGGGCGAGTTGTTCATGTTCGCCATCGTCGAGACGCCGGTGGAGTTGGTGGTGCAGGGACAACGCAAGGCAGACGTTGCACAACAACCAAACAAGCACAACGGAATTGGGTATGCTTGCACTGTCGCGATATTACACTAATACTGGGATACTGAACGAGAGACTGGGTACTTAATATAATATGCAAGACGTGGGGGGTAGCTGGCAGTCTCGTGGAGGAAATAAGAGATGATCCGTACTAAAAAGTCATGTAGGACGGGAACTAATGTGTATGATAGAGACGGAAGAAATATGCTGTCCGATAATAATGTCTGCAAGAAATATACGAGTGAGGAAAATCGTGATCCGTGTTGCGTGACTTTCTCTTCAATTGCCCACATTGTGCTGCGGTGGAGCAGCCCCAGGTGGCAGACTGAACACGGTAGAACTGCGCGAATAACGGTTTTGTGTGGGTGTCTGTGAAGTCGGCCGTTTTCCTGTCGGTCTTGACACCCTTCGAACGCCATCAGGCCCTGGCACAGGTCCACCATCCTTCAACCGTATTCCCCGACCACCGCGTCCGCCAGCGGTATCATCATAATCAGGAGTAAAGTCATCGTTGCTCGTGGGAGATGTCGTTTGTGACCGGAAAGGATTGTTCTGATCTGACGGGAATTGCTGCGAAGATCGGGCGTTCTGAGGTGAGGTGGGCGAGAGGCGCCTTTGGCCATTCGATGAGCCTGATTCGTACGATTCACCACTGTATTGATCAGGACTCTGTGGGCTGACAGGAAGTAGCCGTTGGTTGGATGCAGAAACGGTGTCCGAAAAGTAATTGTCATCACTTGAGCGCACAGATTGAGCGGAAGACATCGGTGGCCCGAGTCCAGTACTCCTATTAACCGCCAAGGGTGCTGGAAGCATCAGAAGGGCATTACTATCGTAACGCGGACGCTGAGGTATATTGTAGGTGCTGGAATCCACAGTGTTGGTGTCAAAGGTATTTGGAGGCTGGTGAGTGTTATCCGAGTTGGATGCAATGGAATAACGGTCCGTTCTAGCATTCAAAATATTGTCAATTATTCCATCACGGTAAAAAAGATGAAAAAACACACTTTCTCTCATAAGAAGCCGAGTCTCTCGACTGACTCCCATTCTTCCACCGGCGTTCCCGTTCAAACTCAGCCCAGCGCTTCATAACGATATGCGTCGAGTCAAACTCTCCATCCTTATCCCCATGATCATCTCCCTTGTCTCCAGCGACCATTCGCGTTTGACCCCATGAAAAGTCGTCAAAATGCCAGAACGCATACGCAGGAAGGAGACCGTTCCAAATGGGTAAAGAGATGAGGTATACAAGCATCCACCCGATATAAGCGACCTTGCGAGAGGTGACGACGATGAGGAGACCAGGCAGACCGAGGACAATAGCAAGCAGAATAAGGGGAATAGTTGTATTCGGGCCGCCGGGGATGATGGAGTCGATGATAAGGTAGAGTGTGAAGGCAATAGCAGCAGGGAGGACAAGAGTTCCAGCCAATTCCATTCCCACGACAAACTGCATCGAGAAGCAGAATGTTCCACAAAGATCTCGTACCAGGATGAGTTCAGCCAAATTGTGGATCGTCGAATTAATCCACCGACGACGCTGAGAAAGGAGGACACGGAATGTATCGGGAACCACAGTCTTACACACGGCCTGTGGACAGAAGACATTCTTGCGCTTGGGAAAGGTCTTCAGCATGAGTGTGGTCAGATAACGATCCTCTCCTAGCAAAAGCAGGTTCTTCTTGTGTAGAGTGTCGACGACGTTTTCGGAGTAGTGTTCCACAATATCAGGATTAGCGAGGATTGGGACCCAATATCCCGTATCACCCTTAGGAGCCTTGATGCGATACATACTGAAACAACCAGGCAAACACGTTACACCGCCGAACATTGATTCGAAAGCCTTGGTCATATGGTGGGAAATGTAGTATTCGAAGACTGGGTTGAATTCTGAGACTGACATACTTTTGAACAAAAAGAAAAAGAAACTCACCTTGCATCATGGTCACAAACGTCTCTGCCTTGTTCGCAATCTTCGTCTCGCCACAAAGACCCATAATCTCCTCATCATGCACCATGCAGCTGACCATACGCGTCAACGAATCCGGGAAAACCTTCGTATCGGCGTCCACACAAAGCACAAGCTCATACCGATCTGGACTAACGCCCGTCACCCTCCAAAGGGAGTTGAAGAACTCGTACTCAAACGTCGTCATCCGTTCATCAAACATAACCTTTTGCAAGAACGCCATGAGCACGATTTGGCTGTCCCGCTTTCCACGATTTCCTGGTTTGGCGTCATTCGCTTCAAGGGGATTACCGACCTTGGCAACAAGAACCATAGGAACCCGCTGTTGCTTCGACCGCTCCGTTGTCGCATCGTCATAAGAATAAAACCCAGCATAGACCTTGGCCATATTATGTCGCTTATGTCCATCTGCAATGGCAACGTACGAGTGGGGCTCGACCTCCTGCGGTGGGATGATAAACTCCTTCATCATGGTTAAACAGATTTCCGGCGTCGTCAAGTCGTTACCAGCACCCTTGACCATTCCATCAGCAATGACCAGGATGACTTTGTGGCTGTTAGGATAATCCGTAGTAGCAAGTGAGTCCAGGGTTGTGCGTAGACCTTCCACCGACTCCGAATAAGCGGTCACCAGACAGATGTTGTGGACGAGGGGGAAATTGAACGGCTCATAGTCGGGTGGCGGTTGAGGGACGACATCATAGAGAGGGAAGGGGCAAGGATTCTCGACGAACGCGCCACGGGAGACCATACCATCCGCAAGCGACATCATGCTCCTCGAATTTCTACTTGGTGATTCTGGAGGTGTCCCCTTTCCTCCCTTTGCAGAAGCAGCATACGTCGTTGACCGCTTCCAGTTGGTCGACGATGAAGAATCCAACATCCCATAAGCAGTGCTTGGTCGGCCCCCCACACCCTTCAACATGTTCTCAGCAGGCGTGAACCGTGAGTGGCTAGGAAGGAATGTCTTCCGATTATTCTTCTTCTCCCTTAGACCGTTCTTGCCGACATTAGGGCGATATTCACTTGGAGCAGCGCTATAAATATTATTTGTCCAGTTTTCGATCTCTGCCGAGCGCTGCATACGCTGCTCGTATGTTTCTCGGGGGAAGTTTCCAAGTTTCCAGGAAAAGAACCATTGGAACATGACGGCCATGACGAACCGAATGGAGACAACCCCAATAATGAAGATGAGGGATATATAAAGGACAACGGAGGAAGCCACGCATCCAATGGTTTTCGTATCGATATATCCAATGGTAATGATGTCTTGAAGACAGTGTCCAATTTGCTTTTGCTTGGTACGAGTGAAAAGCATGGTTAGGTCTTTCGCGTGGTATGTGGCGTTGGTGGTCTTCATCTGATCAAAGAGAGCGGGATACGTAACCTGCGCTCCGCTCAGCCACTGAAGAAGGTTGAGATCCAGTACAGAGCTGTATGATGGTAAGCCATCAACTAAGATGGATGAGAGACAACACGCACGATTCGAAGACGGCAAGATTACGGTTAGGATTTTTAACGTCATCCCAAGTGTAATAAACCTGGCCCATGGGAACCATCTTCGCTAGTAAAGATCTCGACTTTGTGGTGATATGACAACTGGTTGAAGACTCATAACCCGTCAGGTTGGCCCCTTTGCTTCCGTATTGGCTGTAGACGTTACAAGGGAAGTACCAGTTCAGGAATTGCCCGTTACCTGTGATACTCGAGGTCGAAGCCCTTGCGATATGTCCATAACAGTTCTGATTGACGTTTTGGAAAAGAAACGAAGCGTCGTTTCCAGCCAGGTTCCAATTACCAGTCAGGAGGGGGTTTGTTGAGCCATTGAAAGTCGTGCCAGCAGCTGGGTGTTTGAACTTCGAAAAATCGTACGCATTTCCATGAATGACGACAGAGCCATTTCCAATGTACTCATCACCAATCGCACCACCGTGAAAACGATTGGGTGGCTTGCCACACACAGCTTGAGTGAAGCCGAACGTAAGGAAACCCACTCCGGCCATCAACACTAGAATGATTGAGAGAAGACCAATTTTCTCTCGCCATGCACGCTGCTGCTCTGGAGTGTGGATGCCTTTGTGGTGAAAGAAAGGAGAAGTTAGATGTCGTCATCAGCGGGTACCACCAAGGCAGACATACCGCAAGACTTGAGCAGGAACCCTGGTATCAGGCATGTAATAATGAGGCAGTAAGTCATCCATGGCCCGCCGGGACCAGGCCCTTTCCAGCAGCCTCTTTTCTTCTTAGCTTCTGGCGTTGCAAGGGGGGGCGTGAGTGGAGTTGGAGTACTTCGCTTTCGACGAAGAGTGTGTTTCTTGAATAGAGCGAGACCTGATTCATGAACATCCTCCTCTCGACCGAGCAATGACTGGCCTCGCCGTAGATGGGGATAATTGCCCGTTGCTAACGCAGACAACTGTAAAGGTCTGAATGAATGGCTAATGAATGTTGCGACATACTGGATGGCATAACTCCCACTCTTGAACTACCCCCCTCTCCCAAATGAGCGACATGGTTTCGATAATGCCACTGCCTATGGTTGGGGTCAATTTTTTCGCGATCAGGCCTGACGAGGCTCTTCTTCCGGAAAAGTTTTGATGGATCGTCAGCGCCTTCTAAATCAGCGCCAGGAGCATGTTGATAGGCAGCTGGCATCGACCGCATACGTTGGGTGTCGAGTGGGCCTTGACGATCACCCCGCTCCGTATTTTGGAACGAAACGCCGCTTCTTGAGCCGTCGTTGGGATGCAAGTGGGGTCGAGAGTAGACGGGCTGCTGGTCTGGATACGCAGGCGCAGGTGATCTTGGTTGTGACTGCTGTCGTGGGCGAACTGAGCGGGGCGGCCGTTGGTCACCCCGTGAATCCATGTCGGTGGTTGAAATGGATGTTGTTCGAGTTGGAAGGGAGTGTTACGTGGTAAAGCTTGGAAAGGGGATACCAGGGGTAGAGAACGGCGTGGGCGACGTGGTCAAGAGGAAGAGAGAGGAAAGGGAAGGAATGAGGTCAACGGCCAATGTTGTCTGACGGTGAGGGGGAAACGAGGAATGACACTTCTGTCCTATTTTGGCAAGTTTAGGATGAATTCCTCCGAATCTTCGTCACTCTTGGCTTTACTTGGCTCAATTGAAACTCATATTCTTGCAACTCCCTTGGCCCCATCCCGCGCAAGGCCATCCAGAGGCCGACTTTCCTCGAAAACATTTGAGGAACATCGAGGAATAGCCATTTTTTACGCTAACTAAAATAATTGCAACCACGTCATCCACTTTACGCGCTCCACTGGCAACTTTTGGGCAACATGCATCACTGCGGAGAGAGCCACATAGCTCCTTTCATGACGGAACGAACGCAGGGCAGTAACATATCAGCGCTATAGCTCGCCTGCCGTACCACACATATTCGCCTCCTGAGAACACTTAGCACAATGAAGCCCAACATGCCTATACTAGGCACCACATCATCATCAAACGTGTCCGCTCTCTCCCCAGCTTTGGCATCCCAACACTTCTGGGATCAGCGCTAGTACACATATCATGCACATGCGCAGATATGATCAGGACGTAAACCTCGTCTACTCAGTCATAAATTTCGCACTCTCGACAGATGTGGCAAATCTACATCAACAAGTCATTGACCAGTCTCCGACAATTTCGCTGTCACCATGGCCTTCATGCACGGAAATCGATCGACTGTTGGTTACATCAACAAATCCAAAGGGTGAAGTAAAAACATCGTTTTGAAACGCCGGGCGGACGTCCTCCGATTCATCCAGCGCTCAATACAACGCGACATGCTGCCGTTTTCGGGCCCAAATCGAATCTTATCCTTTGGTCCTTTTGTCATCGACGCGCGATATGGCGACTTTCAGTGGCGCCTCTAGTCTGTTCCTCAGGGGACTTGGCAGCTCTGATTACCTTTATGTCAACTGGAAGTCGATGGCAAACATTTCAACTCTATGCTTTACAGGACATCAAGTTCTGTCTTCTCTATGGGTTCGATTTGTTCCGAGAAGAGATGTGGCCTTTGCCAAGTACATCCTCTCTATACCCAATCAATTAAAGCCGGTCCGGTGTCAAGTACGCATCCAATTGTAATTCTCCTATCTGGTAGTATTGAAGGTTTCCTCACAATGATGAATTTTTTTCAAGGTGAGGGCTACGTTTGGAGCTGAAAAGGTCAATCAAGGTGGATCCTTGCAAAAAGACTAGGAATTCTCACAGTTGGCGAGAAACCACAACGGAAATTATTACAATGGATTTCCCAGCAAATGTCGTCCGTGTTTCGGCCTCAGTATCATCTTGTTATCAGAGGCTGCGGCTTCTAACAAGCGCGTTGAGACCTCGTTGACAAGGAACAAATGCGTAGTTCAATCAAAGTGGTCGAGGCGATTGCAGAATATATATCTGTACATTTCTCATTTGATCAGCTGCATCTTTGAAGGCGCGTTAATTTCGCGAAGCGCGCCCAGCGCACTTCACTGAGTTGCACCCGACTATTTACGGTGATAAGGTATGATCGGTCTGAGACATGAAAGAGGGTGAATTGAACCAGCCCCATATCACCATTGGAAGAGAAAATATGCCACATTCATTTACATTCAACGGTACCGATGGAGCGCCCACTCTGTGCTTTTCTTGTGTCATCAGGCGTAAGTACTCGGGTCCAAACTTCACGTATTGATTGACACGGGTGGGAGTTCTAATTTCATATGTCTACGCAAAGATTTACTGCGTTAAATATAAAATGTTTCGCTCCGGGTATGCTCAAGGAATAATGTAGGACAAAGGGCGGGAGTTTGGCGAGAAAGGCGGACGGCGGTGCCAGTGATCCCAATTACTATTAGGACAGTAGATTTCGGCTCGGCTTATCTGATAAAAATCTAATTTTTCAAATGCGGACCGGTACTTAGTGAGTCAAGCTTATGAAGCCTGGCTTACAACTTGGCTTCGCTTCATCATTGTTTTCAAGCATGGCAGCAGAGCGCTTGATCGCCGCTTCGACTCGTAGTTCTCCTCCGTACGTTGGTATCCATCTCCCAGCATCAGGAATTATTTGACAAAATGTCCATGTCCTCTACACATAAAGTGCTCACCACGCCAGCACTCGGCACCAAGGTAGCCCCAGTCCACATCTACTCCGCCGAACAAACCGCACAATTATCGGAACTTAGAGAAGTCAGTTAATTATAAGACCACTTTTTGAATATCAACCTAATTTTTCAATACTAAACCAGTACGCCGATACCCTCCTCCTTCCTGAATCAGATCCATACCACCCTTGGGAGCTCAGATGGCTCAATAGGTCCGATACTATCCCGCGTTACCTGCGCGCGTCAAAGTGGCACATGCCAGATGCACAGAAACGCATCAAGGCGACGCTAGAGTGGCGGAAAGAGTTCAAACCTGACCTTATCCCCCCAGATGAGGTTAGGATAGAGAGCGAGACCGGGAAAATGTGCGTCGTTGTCTCCTTAGTCTATCTCTCCCAAAATTTACTTACAGCAAACCCATAGAATTCTTAATGGGTTCGATTTAGACGGACGACCAATAATATACATGCGTCCCGGAAGAGAGAACACAGAGACAAGTCCCAGGCAACTTCGACATCTAGTCTGGTGTTTGTAGGTCGTCTTGATTACCTTGCTTCCATTTTCCTTCAATTCTGTTTTTAGGGAACGTGCGAAAGACCTAATGCCCGAAGGACAAGAATCCCTGGTCATCATCGTTGACTACAAATCTACCACCCTTCGTACAAATCCTCCAATATCCGTCGCACGCAAGGTTCATTCCTCTCTCTTGCTAAAATCCATCAGATTTTCTAACTTATTTTTATTAGGTATTGCACATCCTTCAACAGCACTACGTCGAAACACTCGGACGCGCGCTCGTCGTTAACCTCCCCATGCTCCTCAACTTTTTCTACAAGGGCATTTCTCCCTTCCTTGACCCCGTCACGCGCGACAAGGTATTTCCTATATAAATTCCCTAATAAACAATTACTGATCATCTTTCGGAATTCAACAAGATGCGATTCAACCCCGACCTTCTAGAGCTCATCCCCGCATCTCATCTAGACGCCGATTTCGGTGGCGAACACAATTATGAGTTCGAGCCGAAAAGCTATTGGGACCAAATCGTCACGTACGTTCCTTTCCGCTTCTTCTAGGTTCTACTCCTATCCGTATTGTCTCATTACCCCCCTATCATCTAGCGCATGCGGGATCGCCCCTGATGGAACACGCGCAGCGGCGGACGAACCTACGTCACCCGAATCAGAATCAGCGGACGGCGAGAAGACGCGCGTTTCAAGTGTCATGCTCGCTGACGGCGACACGGAATCAGTGCACAAAATCTCAGATGACCTCGAAAAGATGCGGGTAGATACTACCACCATTTCGGATGCTCCATTGGTATCGTGATTTGGTCGACCTTTTGTTTCTTGAGCTCCTTATCTTGTTATTTACTTTACCCGCCTCCGAAGATAGATACGAAATATTTATAGTAAACGCCCGTCGTCCATGCATAAACATCCCTGTTATGAAAGGATGAAACATTGATTTTGTGCTATAATTCAACAGCTACTGTACTTTTTAAGAGGTAGTACAGTAAGCTAGCTCTCGCAAAGTCCAAAACCAGGTATCATATAAGCTAATAAATAGAGAGGAGAGGCGGGACGGTATGTGTGTAATGTATTAAAAAGTACAGTGGGGAGAAGGATTGTTCAGCTCAATTGTTTTGTTGTAGATTAGATTCGTCCAAAATGCGGGATATAATAATGAGTGTTATGGATGTGTGGGGATTAATGGTCATGAATGTGAGGACGATATATAGAGAAACAGAAGAAAGAAAAAGAGTGTAAATGAGTGTTTTGCGTGCCTGGACTGTGTCCACATGAGGATAAGATAAGGCATAACACGTACGGGATGTATGGGCCCATAGTGTGCGTGTCTCCAGAAGAACGACTGTTTGGGATAACCGGACGATAGATAGCCAAGAAAGCGAGAAGATAGAAGCATTCATACGCCCGCTTTCCAGCTAGACGGTGGAGCCTTGCGCACACCTCCCCGTCCAGCACTAGAAGGTTGACTAGTTGTCCTCGACCGCGGTGCATTTTTTGCCTGCTGCTCATGAGAGCTCGGGATGGGAGGTACAGGCGGATAGTGCCCTGATTCACGCTGATTTGTTCGATTGCGCGCAAAGCGGTCAGGAGAAGGGCCAAACGATTCCCCATAAGAGCTTCTCGACGAGCTCCAGTTTCCTCCACCTCCTCCACCACCACCACCGTATTCGCTCCGTGTACCACCACCCATTCCACCATACATCGACCCCGTAGACCACTGGTTCTGCAAGGGCATCATCCCCATTCCGCCCATCATCCCATACCCAGGAGAAGTTCCCCCTCCACCATAAACGCTTCCACCAGAAAACCCAACAGTAGACCCAGAAAACCCAACCGTAGACCCACGTTCCCACTCGTCCGCAGCAGCTGCCATAGCCTGTTGCGCCACCGCCATCTGATACGCCTGTTTAGCGATCATCATCGCGTGCTGATGGGCAGCCATGAAGTTCTGGTCTGCAGGGGGCGGGATCATGAATTGAGCAGGGGAGAGCATGGATTGTGGACCCATGTTCATGCCCATATTCATGTTGCCCCAAGGCGAGCCTAGGCCTGGGTTGCCGACGAAGCCCACTTGCTGCTGCATGGGCATTTGACCTCCCATGTTCATCATAGGATTGAGAGCCGACATTCTCGCGTTGAGAGTCTGGTTTATGGGCATATCTTCGTCCTCATCATTCATGACGGGTCCTGGGCCATTTACGACATTTCCAAGCTGGACAAGCCCGTTAATTTATCAACAACACACTCAAGAAAGAAAAAGAAACCGACCTCAATAGCAGCTCGAGCCTCAACCCTCCGTCGTTCATTTCTCTTGACCTCGCGATCTTCATCAGTGTTCATGCCACCTGTCTCATCCTCAAAGCTAACGCTTCGCCTCTTGGCATGTTGCTTCCCCTTACTCTTACTAGTCACCGTCAATCCACTTGCACCGCCGCTCCACTCATTCTGAGTAGCAGCAGATCCTTTCGACCGTCGACCAATGTCACTCCCATCACGGGGGGTGAGTGGTGCACGACCGCTACTGGAATCACCAGTTGAAGAGGCAGGGCTGTTTCCTCGAGCAGCGAAAGGTCTGTTGGGCATGCTTGGGGGTTTGGAGGATGTAGGTGAAGCGGATGTGGGCATTGAAGGCAACATTGTGGAACTTCTCTGCCGGGGAGGCATACCCGGGGCAAGGAGTGTGGGAGAAGAAGCAGCACTGCTCTTGCCCGCAGCAGCAGCTTTGAGTGCGGTTGCTCGGTCTATGTTGGCCTGACTCGGCGACCCGGGAGTATTAGGGTTCCCACCTCCATTAGCACGCGAAGTTGAAGTTGCTTTACTTCCCGAAGATGATGACGAGGACCCAAAAACAGAAGATGATGTCGTCGAAGATGGTATAAGTGTGCTGCTCCTCTTCCTCGACGTGGGTGTCGGTGTCGAAGCAGGCTTCAGAGATGACAAAGATTCACCAAGAGCAATCGAAGTTCGGGTGGTTTGCCCTGACACAACCCGTGAACTCTCCCCAAGAGATGTTCTAGGGTTGGCCCCTTCAGTCCCAGCATTCCTAGGAAATGTTGGTCTGGAAGTAACACTGAATGCAGGTGGTGGTGCGCGTTGTTTGATGGGTATGGGCGCGATTCTACCTCGATCAGGGGAGCTCTCCTTGTCCGTTACCACCTGCTTCTTATTCCTGCCAGATGACGAAGATTCAGAATCGGATGATTCACTCTCCTCTTCCTCCTCTTCTTCACTTGTAGACTCTCCGGCTCTTGAGATGAACTTAATACCAGCAGCACCAAGCATCAACGCAAGCTCCTCATCAGGCGGACTTGGCTTCAGTGTTGCAGAAGATTCAGACGGCCTGTGTCCTCGCAACACAGGTGAAGACGCAGGCACATGGTTGAGTGTCGATCGAGGACTTGTATTGCGTTTCTCATCCTGATGTGGCAGACCACCCACCGTACTGGCACTGTTCGCGGGTCCTCCACCCAATCTAGAACTTGGACTCCGATCTCTGTCCTCTGCTAGCGCATCCTGCCTTCGAGTGTGGTCCTGGTTACTGCCTGAAAATCCATCAGACCCAGAAGACGACCCGGATCCAACGCTCTTCTGCAAGACCCTCGACAGCCTCTCCGACAATATATCCTTCCTCTGCTGCAATATGTCAGGGCTCGTATCCCTCCTCGTCGGTGCTGGCATATTAGTGATGTGTGATGGTCCACTTATCAATTCCTTCATCTCCTTCGCCGGAGTGCTTGGCGGCGATATGAAGTTCCCAGGGGGAAATTTACTCGTCAACGGGGTGGACACGGGTGTCGAGCTGTTGGCGGGCGAAGCCGAGAAATTTCCCTCAGATATCAGAGTTTGCTGGCCCAAAGTGAACCCATCTGTGCTCTTCACCTTACTAGGAGGAATCCGTTTGCCGCCTGTGAGTTCGCCAATGTCAATGAGCGGCTTTTGTTGAGCACGGTTGGTCGATCTGGAGGAAACGTTGCCCGTAGACCGTGAATGGAGATTGGAGTAAGATGACAATGTACTCCCTGGTCTATTAGGACCAAGGAATTTCGCAAGAGGCGCATCATCATCGGAGTCCGAGTCCGCGTCAGCAGGAGATTGAGGTCGCATGGAAGGCGTAGCAATGGTGCGGGTTTGTCCAAGCTTCCCACTGACAGAGGCGAAGTTGGCTGGCGCAGCTGGGTTTGAATGCGTGGAGGAGTCCCGGACATGCCGAGAAACACGTTTGTACTCTGAGAGAACATCTAAAATTAAAACGGTTAGAGCACACGTGATAGCATAGGTACTTTTAGACATACCAATACCAGTCGACGCGTTACCAGATGCAATGACGCTAGCTCGCTTTGCAGCAGCAGAGGGTGACAATGCACTCGTAGAAGCACTAGCACGCGGTCTACTTCCCTCACCATACACACTGAGGCTTGACTGAGAACGTGGGAGAGGGTTTTGCTCATCGTTGCGAGTCCCCATTGACTGGGGTGTCCATCCATGACCCAAATGTGAGCGAGGAGAAGTTTGCCGGTTTGGGGAGCGCTCATCTTGCCGCAAGGGTGAATAGTAAGTAGTACCATGACCCATTTCCGATTTAGCCTTCTCTTTACCCATCCGGTCACGAACCACGGTCTTGTTAGTCCGTGTCGTCACAGTTCGCTGCCTCCCCAGGGTATCGTTCTCCGACTCATCCTCTTCATCAGAAGAAAGAGATTCATCAGATTCAGAGGTGTACCCAACAGGAGCCCCAGATTTCCTGCGTTGTGTATTCCCCTTAATCTGTGGAGAAGAACGGGATGGACGTGGACTTGGCCTCGCGCGACTGGCATCCGATGGGTGTGCGAGAACCTGTGGCAAGGGGCTTGGAGAACAACCGAGTGAAGGAGAAGGAGACCCAGCAAGACTGCGCCGCGCCTGAGCTTCCCGAAATGCGGCAACTGAAATGCGCTGTGAGGAATCCGAATTAACGCTTGGTCCACGAGGGCGTGGAATAGGCGTGGAAAGGGATATATGTGATGATTCCGAACGCGTGGGCGACGGCGGTCGCATGTGACGGAAGGATTTGAGGTTAAACGAGGATGGTTCAGCACTTGTCCGCGAAGAGGACTTGTCTTGGGTCAGATTTGGCAATGTATTCGTATCGTGCAATTGTGACTTTTTTGACATAGGAGGGGTGGAGGTTTTAGACCAGTGAAAGAGTGAAGGTCGTTTGGACGGCGGGGTGCCCAGCTGTGGAACCGCGGGGGGACTGGATGGTGAGGATGAACGAGCGAAAAACCCTTGGTTAGGTAGCGAGTGAGTGGAGAGTGCACTTTGAGGGTCAGTGTAAGCGGCGAAAATGGCAGATTTTGATGGAGGGGGCCGAAGACGGCGTCCGTCGGAACTCTCTACTTCTGATACAGCACTGCTTGTACTTAAACGACCGGAGTAGGCTGGTCGAGGAGCTGTATAAAAGTAGTCATCATTTACGTTCGGCGTACTTTTGGCAGACAATTCTGTTCCCCCTATCGCTGACTTTTTCCGACTGAACGGAAGACGCAACTTGCTACTGGAGGCAGGGGAAGAGGAAGAGGGGAGGCCCGGAGAGGGATACACATGGCTCCTGGGATTGTCGCGAGAAGGGCCGGAGTGGTAGTTACTCTTGCCGTTCGGACTAGAAGGTGACGATTTGTCCGCAATGACGTACGATGTCGTTGGCGAGGACACATTGGAGGGTAAGTCGTCCGCAGTGTTACTGCCCGTCGTGGCTACAGACCGAGCATCCTGCTTGTTCTTGTTCTTCCTTGTGAAAAGACCACCTAGGAGCGTCATTGAACAGAGGAGCGTTGACTGTTGTGAGGGTGTCAGCTGTTCTTATAGCCACCTCTATGACCTTTCCTTGGCGTGTTTGTATAGATGGGCACGCGTCGTCGAGCAATAAGAGAGCGGGCAACGACAACGACAACGGCGACGGGGCCAAAAACGTCAAGGTCGGAGAGAAGAGACAAAAGTTTCAAAGGGGCGTGGCAGGTGCATCCTGGCGTTGTTGACACATGTTTATCCATCGCAACTGTTCGCAACCTGTTTGTAAAAACTTGGTAAAAACCCTTATTTTCTGCCGTTTGACCCTTTTATCCCCATACAGTAACCAACAGATAATTAAAAACATGACGCCTCCAGTTTATTTCATCATATTGAGGATGACGACGGCGAGGAGCTCGCTGAGCTCGAAGACCATCTCGACCAATACCGTCACCTTGGCGACTTTGGGTGAACGAGCGACGACGACAATTGAGCGTCAACGCGTCACATCTGATCCAGGCCACTGCCTAGACCACGGTAGCGTTCTCTCACCGGCCTAAGTTGGTCGATATCGATGGCGGGTAGCTCACAAAAGGAGCACTCAGTATTTTCACCGACGGCGTCCATCTTCAATCACCCCCTTTTATCAGTATCACATATGGCAACCACCTTGGCTTCCATTCCTAACTGCGTACTACAGCTCCATGATTTCATGATTCATCTTTGGTTCTGCGCTTCGACTAAGTATTGCATCACCCACCTGGATCTCTGAAAATGGTTAGGGGAAGAGGAAGAATACCGGAGACTCGGCAGACACCACTAAAATCAGGTGTTTGCCAAGATCTTGCTGATCATTTCAGTTCGGGACTGGTCCAGGATCAGCAGGTCGATCCCGCTATCGTAGCTCGGGTAGCAAATCACCAATGACTTCGTCATCAACGGTCCTAAGTATCTACGTATTGCACCACTATTGCATCGGGGGTTTCTTTTCACCTAAGCCCCTGCATAGTTGTAGTCGCACGCCCTTGATCCTCGACGGAATCCAAGCCAGGGAACGAGTTTAAAATTCGCTCTAACGGGATGACATTCGCTTTTCCGACGCATGGTTTCCCCGAAATATTGACGTCAAACGTTCGACTGTCGAGGTCTTCCTGAATACCAGCGTGTTCCGGTACACTCCCGGCCTAGTGGTTTTATTGAACCATTGCACCTGTCAGCAACTTGATTTTTTATCCAATCCTAAGTATGGGTCGCGGAGGGTAGACACCAACCCCTACCAACCTCCACCCGGCTTCCTGCTTACATGCTTCTGTGCCTAGCGGGGATTATCATCCGTAAAGGGCGCTCGTAAACGCTACAGCGAAAGTTTGCCTCTGCATTGTGGCCGCCACACGATCTTCTACCTCGACAGCTGACCATGAATGGAGATCGCGCCGAGAGTGTAACGATACTCAGCAGTATGTAACATCCGCGTATTTCGCAGACAAGAATCACTTTTAACAAGCTTGCCACTCAGGGCGCTCGAGGCGCCTCGGCAACAAGCTGCAACAAGGCGACTAGTCTCGAAACCCCTTGATTGATGCATGTCAGTCGTGATTAGCAAGTTCGCACTGGCAAGGGGGGGAAGAAGGGAAAAGATGATGATTGAACGTCAACGTTCAGATCTGGGAGAATTACGAGAATACAAAGTAATGATACATTTGCGGTTCCCTGCGAAGAAGCACCACGAGTGGGGGCACTGGGTATAATAATATAAAGCACAAGTTCGCCGGCAGAGAAACCAGCACCGAAGGAAGCAACTGTCGACCAGCTGTAAGTAAAGGGCTATCGAAAAGCCCTGGGGCTAATTGGACCAATTTAAAAGCCAAATTTGCAATTAATACGTCAGACAGAAAGAGGGCATGCAGCCCTATGTTTCGGTAGAATAAATAGATTGGTTGCCGGAGCGTGTAGTTGGCGTGGAACGAGCATGGTTCGAAGGGACCCTGAACGACGTGACAAGGGATAAAATCAGAAAGGCAAGCCCCTCATAGGTAAAGGGCAAAATCATCGCAAAAGTTGCGACAGGAAACAGTGAACCACCATGGAAAAGCGGGCGTGCGCCGCTGGCATGAGCGGAGGTGGAAATAGGGCCGCTGGAACCGGTAGAAGGTGACCCCGAAACCACAGACGATGGGCTATGGGCCGCCACGACTGGCGCATAACACCCATCCGTGACGTTCTCTTGACCTCTAATAACCTGACAATACGGATGGTTCCCAAAGGCGTTGTCAGCCAAAGCATTCACACACAAGGTTTGGGGGTTTTCGTCCCCAGACCTCCCGGACACACAGAGTCGGATGACGCCTGGATTAGAGGGGATGGAGTAATCACCTCCACCGAGTAGGGCATTGTCAATGCCACTGTAGTAGGCGACGGATAGACCTTGTGCTAAGTGGGCTTCCAGTACGGAGGCGAAATCCGCACTACTCCCAGTGCAAGTAGTCGCGGTCGTCAACCCAGAGGTGGGTACGTAGCACCAGCTACCACGGGTGTTTTGTTGAATACACTCGGTTTTTTCGCCGGTCCAGCACGTTGTTTGCGTGAAACGAGCATGAAGGGGTGCAACGTAGCATGATGCAAGAAGTTTCAAGGTGAGAATACTGCGCAGAACGCGTCTCATAAACATGGCTGATATCTTTTCCGAGTTTGAATCAACGCTAGAAAACTACGAATCAAAGAAACACGTACAACGCAAAGTCGACAACGACGAACACAACCCCTCTGCTAACGATTCCCGAGATGGTTCGAGTGGAAATTGTTCTTCTCGAGGGGCTCGACCCCCAATCGCCAGAAAGGCACCAATAGAAAACCCACGTCCATCTAAAGTTGAACCTTTATAGAGTGTCTTGCGGATTTCACGAACGTCGCAAGGCACAGGGAACTTGCCAGGAATCAAATTTGACAGAGGCTACAAAGCTTCTCAAGCGCCAATCTCGTTTGAGTACGCATCGATGTGTCCAGCGTCAAGGGAAGAAGTAAGGCAGAAGGATGGAAGAGTCTCCACGATAGAGAGGTTCTATTTATACACATGGAGACAATTCCTACTGCCCAACAAACAAACGAGGGACGGTAAAACAAATAAAAATCTCCAACGATTAGAGTCAAAAGCGCCTAGCGACAAAGCATGACTGGCGTGTGTCGTAGCTGGTGTATAAATTACACCACTCGAACTGGCACCTTCAACAGCCGTCGCCAATGTCATTGAGGGTGCCGGACTCTTCACTGCCCTATTGGGATTGTAACACCCATCTATAACATTCTGCTGCCCCCTCGCAACCTCACAAAAATCATTGCTCTCATACGCGTTATCCACCAACACATTCACACACACTGTCTTCAGCTGCCCATTCCCCGCCTGACCTGACACACACATGCGCATGATCCCCGGGTTAGCGGGCACAGAAAAGTTGGCTCCTCCAAGGAAGGCGTTGTCGACCCCGTTGTAGAATGCGATGGAGAGTCCTTGAGAGAGGTGGGCTTCCATTACGGAAGCCATGTCTGCGTTCGCGGGGTTTGTGCCTGTGCATGACGTGGTTCGAAGTGGTGCAGAATTGGGTATGTAGCACCATGTACCAAAGGAGTTCTGTTGAATGCATTGGTCTGCCCAGCATGTCGTCTGAGTGAAACGAGCGTGAGTTGACGGAATCCAAGAAGATGCGACGAGAAGTGACATGAGGAGACCAAACACCCTCAATCTGGAAGAGGGCAAAATCACTGGAAGACAAAGGAGTAACACACTATGAAGCATCGACTTCAACGACTGGGCACCGCTGGCGTATGCAGGGGTATAAGACGGGCCAGAATTGGACGACCCCGGAGATGAGGTCGACACCGAACCAGGGGAAGAAATGATGGAAGATGGGCTATGAACAACCACGTTTGAGGAATAACACCCATCCGTAACATTCTTCTGGCCTCTAATAACCTGACAATACGGACCTCCACCAAAAGTATTGTCGGCCAAAGCGTTCACGCAAATGGTTTGGTCACTCCCATCTCCAGCTTGACCGGACGCACAAAGACGAATGACACCTGGATTGGAAGGGATAGGATAGTCGGCCCCTCCCAGTAAAGAATTACCAATGCCATTGTAATAGGCGACGGATAGGCCTTGAGCAAGGTGGACTTCTAGCACGGTGACAAAGTCTATGTCGGTGTAGCTGGTAGTTCCAGTGCAAGACGTCGTTACTAGGCTACGAGAAGCGTCAGGAATGAGGCACCAAGCACCGGCCGCATTCTGCTGGATGCAGTAGGTATTCTGACCAGACCAGCATGTCGTTTTGGTGAAACGAGCGTGAACGGGTGCCACATGACAAAAGGCGAGCAGGGGGAGGAGGGGATTGCGCAAGTTGCGTCCCATCGTTGAGTACAATGATTCTCCCTGTGTTGACTTGAAATCAACCGACCTAAGACGACTATGGAACCTGAGGAACTTACGCGTAGATAGCGTGTCGGTGGGACTGAGCGTGTCACGGCCCACGAGTCGACACACTGGGACGAGAAGGCTCGATTCAAGTGCGGCCTATCGGGCAGTTTTCATCCTTCACAGCCATCTGTCAATGTCATTGACTAGTTTTGGTTCACATTGAGCCTCTTCCAGTGCATAGCGGGCCTGGGCGGCTAAAATATCGACTGTACCTTAACTGTTTCCAGTAGAGTCATCACGACACCATGAGACTGAGAAAAGTCGTGAGGTACAGCTAACGAGGTATCGAAGGACCCCCGAAAATCCTGCTAAAGGGTAGATACTAAATTTGCCGATTTCCAGATTCTTGTCCGTACCAATTTTGGCGAAGTATGTCCGGATTTTATCTAGCCTAGACAAATTTTCAAAAATTTGTCCAAACTTCGTATCTAGCCTACTCAGGGCCAAATTTTGTGTGCAGTGCGAGATTCGAACCCCAGACCACACGACGAGCCTAGTGAAGTACATACATTTTTTCCGTTAGACTAAGCGACCATACTTGTCCGGTTAGTATCCAGCCTGTCAATCTCCTCGCAAACCTGTCCGGATTTCGTATCTAGCATTTTGCTGATTTTTTCGAAAACCTGTCCGGTTTGTATCTAACCTAGCACCTCATTTTGAAAATTTCTGTCCGGATCGGTATCTACCATTTAGCAGGATTTTCGGGGGTCCTGGTATCGATAGACCAAATTTCAAAACGCTCCGCTTAGTGATTTTGTTTACTTGTGGAGCCTCAGGGTATGTGCAAATAACCTTACTGGGAATCTATGACTATATATGCAACAAGTGAGAAGGGGCGGGAAGGCAATGCCCACCAAATGGCTGGCCGTAGTTGTTTGGTCAGCTCCAAAAGTAAATAAAATCACTAAGCGGAGTGTTTTGGAATATGGTCTATCAATACCTCGTTAGCTGTAATGCAGAACTCCGCGTCGCGCATAGATTGGATATAGGAGGACAACGATGAGCTAGTGGTGCCAGTGATTGTTGAAGAAATATGGAAAGCAAGACTGATCTGCTCGGAATTCTCGGTTGCCGATTGATGGCCGCATATTTGCTAAGTAATATAATTGATTTGTGGTATTTGCACCACAATTACATAATATACAGCTATGTTGTTCAAGTGCCTTTCTTCATGGTCTACTCGATGCCTTCATCATGTAACAGGCAAATTACATCATGGCCTTGCTTGCTCGTCTGATATTCCACTTCAATTCATCCCATGGCTTGACAGTTATATGAGTGTCCTTGTGATTTTTCCTGACAAGTTAATTTAAGGGTACAACTTGCATTTCTATGCGGCACTGTTTTCTTCAGCCAGCATTGAATCTAGTCACATGAATTATATATAAATAATCTTTCTTCTGTGGCGGATGATGAGTCCATCACCCATTTTGCCATTCACTGGAAAAGACTAAAGAAATTTACTATCTTGTTGTGGTCTATTCTGCCTGTAAAAAATATGCATTATTTTCTTGAAGGTCTCTTCAATGGAAGTATGATCCCCACCCCAGGAAATCCTGCAGGAGAGTGGGTTATTTATCAAAAGTGACTGAGGAACAAGACTCACCAGTTCAGCAATGTCTCTCATGTTTACATCCAGTCCAATGGTAATTGATTTCATCTTGAGGTTTAAAATTCCTTCTTTCACTTCTCAATCAGGTGGACCAATCAACATATAGAATGTGATCAAGTCTTCTGGGGCACATCACAGTGTCCTATCATCAAATAAATTATCACAAACAACACTGGGTGTTGGGGAGTTTCATGATAACTTGGAGGCAGTTGTTTGCTGCAACAACAATGCCCACAATTTCTTGCATAGGGGTGCTCATGGTAGCCATTTTTGATTCATTTTTTGTTCATTTTTGTAGACATAGAACATCAAAAATGAAGTGAAAAATGAAGTGAAAAATGGCTACTGTGAACCTGCCCTCCTTGAAATTTTCGAAAATGAGATAAAAAATGAGTGAAAAATGGAACAGCCCATTTTTCGGCACCCTGGCAGCCTTGAACTCTGCACCTTGTTGCAGACCCCACCTTATCTTATCATTTCTCCAATAGTATCTGTCAGCTGCAATTCTTCCCTGAGCCTCAACTAATTGGTTTTCAGTCTATTAAGAGTAATTTATTTTGATTTTTTTGCTCATTCTGCAGTGCAAACGGTGAATAGAATAAAGTGGTTGTCATATCGGGAAAAAAGAAAAAGAACAGACAACACTGAAACGCCCTTCAGCAACTTGAAACCTGAACACAAAAAATGGATGAAAAATGGATGAAAAACAGAAACACATCAAAAATGGACACGATGGCTGTTTTTGAAAAATGGCATTTTTGGGATCATTTTTGATGTGTTTCTTTGCCCGTTTTTGATTCTATTTTTCAGAAAAACGAGATGAGAAATGAGATGAAAAATGATTCAAAAACAGTAACTGTGAACGGCACTAATGCCATCCACCCAGTTTGTTTGATAAACTAGTTACCACAACATCATGTGCAAGATGGCATTGCTAATAGAAAGTATGTGAAGTTGTGAGTGTGTCTATTCAAAATTATGTGGGGAGAAGCCTCACATCCTTTTCTGAATATTTCCTGAATACCTCTTTCTGAGTCAGCCACAAATTGATTCAAAAGGTGCAAGATCACAATGAGTCTGCATGAAAATTTGCACAAAATCATACTCATCTTGGGACTTTGGCAGTGACAAAATTACTCTGCTTTCACAAGCACAACCATCCCTGCATGGTCTGAGATGCCACCAGATGCCATTCCATGATTGGAGGCTAGTCTACTGTCATCTGAGAGCTGTGTGAGGCTATAGGGTGGGCTTTGTTGCACCTGGAAGCATTGTAGTGTATTGGATGCAGCAAAACTACTTTAGCACTGACATAGCCATGCACTCAAGATGCTAATGCTTGGAGGTTGGTTGGAGGATCATTGTGTGATGTTTCTTCAAGGAAGTATGTGCAAATGTGCCTCAGTGTTGGTGTATTTTGTCAATTTGAGCCTGAAACATCTTGGGAACATCAAGTAAGTTGATTTAAATCTGTAATTACATTGCAGAATTACTGATATTCTTTAAATTAATAAGATACCCAGTAATGATATGTGTTCCGACAGTGCCAATACTTGATGGATGTTAGACGGCAAGACTTGGGCGATGGCTCCGTGAAATTCTTCATTGCAGATTGCATAATTATGGTACAAATACCACGAATCAATTATATTACTTAGCAAATATGCGGCCATCAATCGGCAACCGAGAATTCCGAGCAGATCAGTCTTGCTTTCCATAAAGAAGATCTAGACTAAGAAAAGACTGCAAACGAACCCAAACTCAAGCCCAACTCAAGCCTTAACACAAGAGGCGTCAGATCCACCGATCGCGTACACAGCTCCCACGGTGGGTAGGTGGGGAGTACCCCCAAATTGGGAAGGGCATGTAAGCAGGTGATCAGCTGTGATCAGTCGTCGGAACTCGACATGAGATGTTTCGGCATGGTCGGCAGCTCAGTTTGTTTACCGCGAAAAACCTTCATTCTTCTCATCTACGTCACCTGTGTTATCTACAAATGCGTCCACGCCGACATATCTCTCTCAACATGGCAAGCTAATAATGCACATACTGGTGCATATAAATCGTCAAAAGTGTAAATTGGGGTTTGCTGGTGTGCGCATACCTTATGATATCTGTACCATCCCGCTACTTCGGTGTCTTCCGATCCCACCTGCACCCATTTATGGCTCAATTACACAATGTCAACAACTATTTGCTTTCAACAAGTTCTCTGTCGTATATAATGCAACCTGTCCTGTTTCGCGAAGTTGTACATTGCACAACATTTTCGCGCAGAACTTTGAATAAAGTTCATATATGCTAATAGACACTACTGTATTCTACAAATTTTCAGGCTTACATGATAAATAACCGTTCGACATAGGTGATCCACCGCGTAATGTAAGGCGTTGGCAAGTACAGCGGAGTTGATTCAGATTTGATGGGCGAAGCGTTTGCCATTGCCATGCCGCTTTCTGGAAATCACCGATCATGCTTTGTCATGGTTGAAGTTGGTGTCCAAGATCGGTGGATCTGACGCCTCTTGCCTTAACATCCTTTCAAAACTATACAAAATGTTCCTGAGCCGTGCCATTTGCCATTCCTCAACGAATCCCCATCCAACTTTCAAGACCATCTCTTTCTCTCTGCATCAAGCCCACTCAACCACATCACTCAGCTGGGTCATCCGACACAGCTAAATTGCACTAGCGTACTGGTCGGGCCTGAACGCCCCCACGGCCGGATGCAACACACCACGGTTATGGAACAGTACCAGGTTGTTCGCATAGGTCCACCCAACGCCTTAGGAAGGTGGGGGAAGAGGGAGACACGTACGTCAGGCAAGATTGCAGGCCTCTGCATCTCGTACGACGTCTACTCAAAGGTCGGCGATGTGCGCTACATCTGGGTACAAAGCCCCTCCACGCTTGGCGCCTTGAGGAAGAGGATTGACAAGGAGCCCTTGCACGCCACATGTACAATGCAAAGTCGACAACGACGAACACAGCTCCTCTTCTGATGATTCGTAAACAGGTTTAAGTGGAAGTTGTTCTTGAGAGGCTCGACACATCCAACTGCCAGAAAGGCAGCAATAGGAAGCCCATGCACATCAATTGGTATCGAAAGTCGCAAGGCGCAGGGAACTTGCAAGGTAAAGCTTCAAGCGCCAATCTTGTTTGAATACTTACATACGTCGATGTGTTCAGTGTCAAGGTAGGAAGTAAGGCAGGTCTCCTCATTGATATTAGATTAAAATCGTAAAAGGTTTTATTTATAAACATCGCAAAGACTTCCTACTGATCTCCAAAGATTAGAGGCACCTAGAGACAAAGCATGACTGGCGTGCGTCCGAACAGCTAGTCGCTCGAACCTTCCACAACCGTCGTCAGTGTCATCGATGGGGACGGACTCTTCACCGCCCTAATCGCATTATAACACACATCCGTAACATTCTACTCCCTATCATTGCTCTCATACGCCTCATCCACCAACACGTTCACACACACCGCCTCAGCTGCCTGTTCCTCGCCTGCGGATGATCCCCGGATCCGTGGGACCAGAGAAGTTAGCTTCTCCAAGGAAGCCGTTGTCAACCCCGTTGTAAAATGCGATGGAGATATGAACTTCCATTACAGAAGCCATGTCTGAGTTCACGGGGTTTGTGCTGGTCCATGAGGTGGTTCAGATTGGTGCAGAATTGGTTATATAGAACCATGTACCAACGGAGCTTTGTTGAATGCATTGGTCATTCCAGCATGTCGCCTGAGTGAAACGAGCGTGATTTGAAGGGAGCAAAGAAGAGGCGACGACGAGTGACATGAGAAGACCAAACACCCTCAATCTGGAAGAGGCCAAGATCACTGGAAGACAAAGCAGCAATACACAATGAAGCATTGAGTTCAGCGACAGGGCACCGTTGGCTTGCGCAGGGGTATATGATGGGCAGGAATTGGTGGATCCGGGGGATGAGGTGGATTCTGAGGTCGACACCGAGCCAGGGGAAGAAATGATGGAAGACGGACTATGAACAACCACGTTTGCGAATAACACCCATCGGTAACATTCTTCTGGCCTCTAACAACATCGCAATACGGAATTGCGCCAAAAGTATTATCGGACAAAGCGTTCATGCACACGGTTAAGTAATTCCCATCTCCAGCCTGACCAGACGCACAGAGACGAATGACACCTGGATTGGAAGGGATAGGATAGTCAGCCCCACCGAGTAAAGAATTACCAATGCCGTTGTAGTAAGCGACGGATAGACCTTGAGCGAGGTGGACCTCTAGCACGGTGGCAAAGTCTGCGTCGGGGTAACTATCAGTTCCGGTGCAAGACGTCGCCGTTATTCCACCAGCAACGTTAGGTATAAAGCACCAAGCACCAGCTGCATTCTGCTGGATGCAAGCCGTGTTCATACCAGTCCAACATGTCGTTTTTGTGAAACGAGCGTTAATGGGTGCCATATAATGAAAAGCGAGCAAGGGAAGGAGGAAATTGTGTAATTTGCGTCCCATTGTTGAGTACAGTGATCCTCCCTGTATTAACTGAGAATCAACAAACTTCAGACGACCACATAACCGGTAACGAGATGCAGACATAGCGCCGTTCAATAGAGTTTCCAAAGAGTTGTAGGGTTTGATAAAAAGCAAAGGTTGTTTCCGTCACCAGGGTCTAGGTGAGGTAGAGTAATCCAGTTGACAGGCGAGAGGGTGATGACTAAAGTTGGGTTTTTAGTTGGGGTTTTGTAGTCGAGTTTGTCGGGTGAAAAGATATGGACACAGCGGAAACGTGATGTCTGTGACTTGGAAGTTACAGATGTTCGGTTTCATTACACTGGGGTAGCGAAAAATAGACCGTTTAACGACTGAACTCACTGTAGAACTTCGTAGATAACAACAGGCCTTTTATACTAGACAGAGGGGTCACGGGTGTTTATGTCCGAAGGAAATGGAAAAGGCCAGGCCAGAAAGGTGGAATGTAAAGAGTGTCTCTGGCTGAAGGAGAACGGGGGACGAGCTAAGGGGCATATGGATAAACGATGGAGAATGCGTAAGCGTTGGAGGACCTGTAAGCCCATAAAGAGTCCGTTGGAGAAGGCCAGATAAACGAGTATGATGTTAGTGACGTCCGTCACAGTTCTCCGCCTGACCCGACACACATACGCATGATCCCTGGATTCGGGGGTAAAGAAAAGTTGGCTCCTTCAATGAAGCTGCTGTCGTTTGCGGAATTCGGAGTGGTGCAATATTGGGTACGTAGCGCCATGTACCAACGGAGTTTTGTTGAATGTATTGGTCTCCCCAGCGTGTCGTCTGAGTGAAACGAGCATGAGTTGAAGGGAGCCAAGAAGACGCGACGACGAATGACGTGAGCAGACCAAACACCCTCAGCCTGGAAGAGGCCAAAATCACTGGAAGACAAAGCAGCAACACACTATGAAGCATCGAGTTCAGCGACTGGGCACTGTTGGCTTGTGCAGGGGTATGTGATGAGCCGGAATTGGGGGACCCCGAGGATGAGGTCGACACCGAACCAGGGGAAGAAATGATGGAAGATGGACTGTGAACAACCACGTTTGACGAATAACACCCATCCGTAACATTCCTCTGGCCGCTCATAACATTACAATACGGACCTCCACCAAAAGTATTATCAGCCAAAGCGTTCGCGCACAGGGTTTGGTGACTCCCATCTCCAGCTTGACCGGACGCACAGAGACGAATAACACCTGGAGTGGAAGGGATAGAATAATTAGCCCCACCGAGTAAAGAGTTATCAATGCCGTTGTAGTAGGCGACGGATAGACCCTGAGCGAGGTGAGCCTCTAGCACGGTGGCAAAGTCTGCACCGCTGAAAGTCCTAGTTCCTGTGCAAGACGTCCCTACTTGTCCATCAGAAACGTTAGGAATATAGCACCAAGCACCAGCTGCATTCTGTTGGATGCAAGCGGTGTTCCCACCAGCCCAGCATGTTGTTTTTGTGAAAAGGGCGTGAACGGGTGCCATATAATAAGAGGCGAGCAGGGGGAGGAGGAGATGGCGTAGATTGCGTAAATTGCGTCCCATTGTTGAGTACCTTGATTCTCCCTGTGTTGACTGAGCATCAACCAACTTCAGACGACCATCGTAGAACCTGGCGAACTTACGCGTAGGTAGCGTATCGGTGGGACAGCGCGTGTCACTGCCCACAAGTCGACCAACTTGGATGACGAGGTCGGAGGCTCGATTCGAGTACGGCCTGTGAGGCTACATATTTTCATCCTTCACGACGAGCTGTCACATTGGGCCTCTTCCAGTGCTTAGCGGGCCTGGGCGGCTAAAATATCGACTGCACGTTGACTGCTTGCAATAGAGCCATCACCATATGATGAGAGTGGGAAAAGTCGTGAGGTAACACAGGGCTCCGCGTCGCGCATACATTGGATGTAGGAAGACGACGATGAGCGAGTGGTGAATGTTCAAGAGGAGGCCGTGAGACGATGAGCTAGTAGTGAGTGTCCAGGAGGAAACCGTGACCAATGCAAGCTGAACGTTGAACTCTTAGCTTATAAAATACAAGGAAACTTTGACTAGAACTGTCTGTGCACTACATAACGGCTTTAGAAAGAGGCCCATAGATTAACTCATCACCTGGGTCTCTGACCACTCTCACCAATCCTGCTGCCTTCGCTTCAAAGTAATCCTTGACGGCATCATCATAAACCTTGAACCCAGTAAATGTGGCCTTAGAAACACCATCAACCAATGTTTTAGCATAAGACCTAGGCCTCTATGAGTGGAAACAGATAAGAGGTCATAAAATAGACCGATAAACACACCACTTGTCAAAAACACCACAGCGCTTTCCAATAGTGACAGAGTAAAACTTTCTTCCGCGTCGAGGGGTGGTCACGGGTGAAATAGACAGATGGAGAGGAGCTGGAGGGGTGTGAGCCTGAGGGGGCAGCACCGAAACAGGGTCATTGGTTGAGAGCGCTTCAAGAGCACTGGCCAGTAAGTCCACATTGTGGTCATCAACAGAACTGGGACGCTCGTCCATAATGCTGGGAATTGCTGGTGCTGGATAGTCTTATAAGAACTTGAAGTCCGATTTCGTAACTTGGACAATGGAGGTGCTTTCAAGTGAGGCTGTGCGTGTAACCCAGGTGCAACCTGCGCAGAAGCCGGCTGATGGAAGACTGTGAGTTCAAGCCGCCAGCAAAAAGATCGTAGAAATTCGCTTTCAATCGACTTGAGTAAAGCAGAAAGCATTCCTCGAAATGTCAAGTAATTTCAAACGAGTGGAAATAATAACTACTTCCTAGAACCTGAGGAACCCACGCATAGGTAGCGCGTCGGTGCAACGTCACGGCCAACGAGTCGACCCACTTGGATGAGGAGGAGGCTCAGTTCAAGTGCGGCCTGTCAGGCTATCTTCATCCTTCACAACGATCTGTTAATGGCATTGACCTGCTAGTTTTGTTCACAGTGCTTAGCGGGCCTGGGCGGCTAAAATATCGACTCTACTTACGTTAACCGATTGCAGTAGAGCCATCACGATATCATGAGACTGAGAAAAGTCGTGACGTAACCCAGAGCTCCGCGTCGCGCATAGATTGGATGAAGGAAGACGACAATGAGCTAGCGGTGAGTGCTCAAGAGGAGACCGTCAGACGATGGGCTAGTACTGAGCACTGAGTGTTCAACCGGTGAGTACTGAGTACTGAGTGTTCAAGAGGAGACCGTGACCTGCCAACTGTGACTTTTTTCCACGTTCACCCGGTATACGAGCTAAATCCACCCAACGCGTTAGCAAGGTGAAGAGGAATAAGGGAAAAGGGATACACGTACGTTACGCGAGATTGCAGGCCTCTGCATCTTGTCAATGTACAGAGGACCCCCGAAAATCCTCCTAAATGGTAGATACCGATCCGGACAGAAATTTTCAAAATGAGGTGCTAGGATAGATACAAACCGGACAGGTTTTCGAAAAAATCAACAAAATGCTAGATACAGAATCTGGACAGGCTTGCGAGAAGAATCACTAAGTAACCGGACAAGTATGGTCGCGTAGCTCGGAAAAAAAGTATGTACTTTACGAAGTCTGACCTGTGGTCTGTGGTTCGAACCTTGCGCCGCACAAAAAAATTTGGCCCTGACTTGGGCTAGATACGCAGTTCGGACAACTTTTCGAAATTTTGGTCTAGGCTAGATAAAATCCGGACAGACTTTGCCAAAATTGGTACGGACAAGGATCTGGAAATCGGCAATTTTAGTATCTAGCATTTAGCAGGATTTTCGGGGGTCCTATGTACAGCGTCTCCCGAATAAGGTCGGTGATGTGCGCAAGCCCCTTCATGCTTGGCGCCTTGAGGAAGAGGATCGACAAGGAGCTCTTGCACGCCACATGTACAATGCAAAGTCAACAACGACGAACACAACCCCTACTGATGATTTGCGAGATGGTTTGAGTGGAAGCTCGACACCGCCAGAAGGGCACCAGTGGGAAACCCATGTACATCAATTGAACCTTTATAGAGCGTCTTGCGGATTTCGAGCAGGGTGATACGAACGTCGCAAGGCGCACGGAATTTACAAGAAAACAAAGGGCTTCAAGCGCCAACCTTGTTTGAGTACGCATCGATGTCTCCAGCGTTAAGGGAAGAAGCAAGGCAGAGAGGTAGAGGTATACTCCGGAGCGGTCCCAATGAGAAGTGTCTCATCTGGTCGAGAGGTCACAGGAGATGATCTTTTTTCCTTCAAGTTCAACCTGCCCATATACTTAGACCGATTGAACGAACAAATCAATAGGTAGATCAGGTGGCCTTTTTGTGCGAAAGGGATCGTAAAAGGCCAAGGCCAGGAAAGAGTGATGTAGAGACTGTGATTGGACGAAGGAATGGGAGAGGGATGCCATGGGATATCTACGCGTAAGCGAGAAGAAGTAAAAGACTAGGGTCCGTTAGATACTCAATCTAGAGGTGGCCAAAATCACTGGAAGACAGAGCAGTAATACGCTATAAAACATTGAGTTCAGCGAATGGGCACCGTTGGCTTGTGCCGAGGTAAGTGATGATCCAGAATTGGTGGACCCCGGGGATGAGGTCGACACCGAACCAGGGGAAGATGTGATGGAAGATGGACTATGAACAACCACGTTTGGCGAATAACACCCATCCGTAACGTTCTTCTGGCCCCTAATAACCTGACAATACGGACTTCCACCAAAGGTATTATCAGCCAAAGCGTTCACGCATATGGTTTGGTAATTCCCATCTCCAGCTTGACCGGACGCACACAAACGAATGATACCTGGATTGGAAGGGACAGAATAATCAGCCCCACCGAGTAAAGAATTACCAACGCCGTTATAGTAGGCGACGGATAGGCCTTGAGCGAGGTGGACCTCTAGCACGGTGGCAAAGTCTGCGTCGGTGTAACTAGTAGCTCCCGTGCAAGCCGTCGTTACTAGTTCAGGATGAACGTTAGGTACATAGCACCAAGCACCAGCTGCGTTCTTCTGGATGCAAGCGGTATTCTGACCAGTCCAGCATGTCGTTTTTGTGAAACGAGCGTGTGTCGGTGCCATATAATAATAAGAGGCGAGCAGGGGGAGGAGGAGATTGCGTCCCAGCGTTGAGTACAATGGTGATCCCTCTGTGTTGACTGAGAATCAACCAACTGCAGACGACCACAGAAATTGAGGAACTTACGCGTAGGTAGCGTGTCGGTGGGACAGAGCGTGACACGGCCCACGACCTACTTGGATGACGAGGAGGCTCCTTCACAACGATCTGTCAATGACATTGACCTGCTAGTTTCACATTGAGCCGCTTCCAGTGCTTAGCGGGCCTGGGCGGCTAAAATATCGACTGTTTGTCAACTGCTTGCAATCGAGCCATCGCGACATGATGAGACTGAGAAAAGTCGTGAGGTCACACAGAGCTACATTGCGCGTCGCGCATAGATTGGATGTAGGAGGAAGACGATGAGCTAGCGGTGACCGGTGAGTACTGAGTGTTCAAACGTTCAAGAGGATTCAGAGACCGTGACCAAAATGCAAACTTGGTTCACACTGTGACTTTTTTCCTGGATAAATCTAATCAGAAACCCCCTTTCCGCCAGAAACCCAGGGGTCTCTCGTCGTCGGTTTGAAACCCCCCCTCCATCCTCTGTCAAATGTTGTTTGGCTATGTTTTTAGAAACCTACGTCGGAGATTGTTTGAGTACTTGCCGAGCACCTGCCGTCTGCACAACAGTAACAACATTGCCTCATATCACCCCTCAACGTTCAACGCTTCAAGTCAATCCTTCCGTTGTGTACGCAATGACCATGTAACCTCAATTATAATACCCACCGCTGGGGTCCTCTCCACTGACAGCCTCGTGTGGCCTCGTAGAGGACGCAGGCCATCGCTCGACACTTGCCATGCACATCAGAGTCATGGTGCAGCCTGAACACAGAAGGCCGTGCCTCTTGCCTGTGTAGTCAGTGCATTCCAACTAAGACCACAGAGGGTGACAGCCGCCCTACGTGGAGGACGAAATGCGGGTATGTTGCCAGGAAGGCCACACACACTCAGCGGCCAGCCTGCCCACTAGTCCCTCGCTCTTGGCATTTCAGAGTACAGCACATACCTATTATAATTATCATAGGCAAATAATACACGCTCTCAGCTTGAGCACCAGTCGGGTGATGTGCTGCTACATACAAATTCACTCCCGTTTCGGCAGTGAGTGAGCCGCGCGTCGGACATCAAATATCTTGATTGTTGGCTATTGACAACACCCCAGGTTTCTGCCCAACCAATTCAGAAACCACAGGGTTTCACGTGGAAAGGAGGGTTTCTGGATAGATTTATCCTTTTTTCCAAGTTCACCTTGAGTTCGCTTATGATTATTCAAACTCAAGTACTGAAGTACTCAAGCTTGATATCCTTTCAAACCAGTGCAAAACGATACAGTAAAATTACACAATCTTCAGCCGTTCCATTATTACTTTGATTCCTCGTCCAACTTTCAATACCATCTCTTTCTCCCTGCAAGGCTCAAGCCCACTTAACCACATCCTCCTCCGAAGGCCCAGCCGGATCATCCGACGCAGCCAAATTGCACTGGTGGAACGCGCGTATCTGGTCGGGCGTGAACGCCCCCACGACCGTATGCAGCACACCACGATTATGGAACAGGACCAGGTCGTTCTCGCGCCAGTCGTGTGGGTATACGAGCTAGAGCGTTATTAGCAAGGCGGTGAAGAGGAAAAAGTTGAAGAGGAGAGGGATACACGAACCTCAGGCGAGATCGCAGGCCTCTGCATCTTGTACAACGTCTCCCGAACTACTTTCAGGTCGGTGATGTGTGCTCCGTCTGGGTATAAAGCCCCTTCACGTTTGGCGCCTTGAGGAAGAGGATCGACTAGGAGCTCTTGTGCGCCGCATGGGTGGACTTGAAAATGTAACGCCCCCGTTCCAGGGTTTTTCCAAACCTACATAGGTTCGTTCCAGCATAAACAAGGGAGGTGATTGGTAGGAAGGAGGGACTTACCACGGGGAACACCTTGACCTTCTCCTCCTCCCAATCAGGTAGTTCATCCAACTCCAACTCCAACCCCTCCGACTCGATCCCCAAGCCCGTAGACATCGCATGCGCAGGGGCCATCCACACATACGGATGAGGCGCATACTTCACCTTTGCTCTAACCGCCAAACTCTTCAATTCCACCGGCAAAATATCAAACATCGTCTTCCCTGACACAAACGCCGTCGTCCCAGGCGGAACAGGCAGCTCGTCCCCAGTCCCATCATCATATCTCACCACCTGCGGATCGCCTTTGGGCACCTTGATGCCATACAGCGTGGTCACTTTCGGCGGGGACAATTCGTACAACGCAGCGTCGATGTGCCAGCGGTAGAACCGCGTTATGCCGTTGGCTTCGTCCTGTGGGGAGACGCGGGTCTTGTGGAATGTCGTGTGACTTGGGTGTTTGAGTTTGGCTTCGGCGAGTCCTTCGTGGTTGTAGACGGTCCCGTTGCCGATGAGCTGGACTTGGGGGACGCGAGGGATGGTTTTGAGATCGGGGTGGAGAATGGATTTCTTAGTGCTACCTGTCTTGTTGTTCCCGTGCCCGTAGCTTTCGGATTGAGGATCGAATGCCTGGAATTCATGTTATGCTTGGAATTGTAGCATACATTGACGGAAGTTGTATTACCTTTGTCAATGCATACTGTTGCTCTGGAGTGAGGACTACGTCTCGGAATAAGAGAGCGTCGTGCTGTCGATAATGAATACTCTGGTCATGGAGATAAGGAATAGGGGGAATTACCTTGTACAAAGCGTCCTTGACTTGCTCAAATTCCTCTGGACTCAAAGTGCCTGGGTTAACGCCCTTGACTTCCCTACCAAAGTCTGCGAATTTAGATGGATCAGCGGAGGCGGGGAGAGGCAACGGTACAAGTTCAATTGCCATCGAAATGATGATAAGAGTTGGAGGCACAAGATCCGAGTGCTATTTATGCAGTCTGCCCCGGCAGTGCTTATCCTGACTTTATCTTAGTCTTGACATCAAACAACACTCGGCTTATCATCCACCTCTCAATAATCCTGGCAAGAGAAATTTCATGATTTTTGGTGCACGGGGAATGTGAGCAATAAACGTCGATGGCCATAATACATGCAAAAAATGACAACAACGAAAACGGGGGTAATCCACCTAGATAGTTGTTTCGTATGGAACGGGAACCATCGTCTGAGGCGCGTTCTTCTCGGTGGAGACGGTGCGGGCTTCTCGGGGAAGGGCAGGGATACGTCTCAGGTTCACTCGCTCTGCACCGCTGCATGAGCATCGATCTTCATGGCATTGCAAAAAGAACACTCACCGCCCTTCTCCTTCGCTGCAACGTGCGCATCGTGGTTGCTCTTTACCCTGTCCAAGAACTCCTGACGACACTTTGAGTGCCGGACGTGCTCAACACGGAGGTTAACACGCTTCTCGATGTAGCGGTTTCCAACGACCTTGTACACGATCACACCGACGGCGGATGGGGTCACGTTGTAGACGATGCCGGTGCGTCTGAGTTCAACCTTTAGATAAACGAAGAAGATCGTGGGATTGGAAGGCAAACGCACCCATGGTAGTACTTGTGGGGCATACCCTTTTGTTGTGCGGCGTTGGCCTTGATGTCAACGATGTCTCCTACGCGGTAGTTGATGAGGAATGTCGACAGTTTAACGGGGCCATGCTCTGCAACGACGATGATCAGAACGACAAATGTAGAGTCATATGTAACCCAAACGGACCCTTGAACCCCCGCTTGAACATATGGCGCGTACGCGCGCGGTAACCGAAGGAGTGAGGCATCTTGAGGTCTGCATCACCGTTAGTCACAACGCCATACACAACAAGCTGAGGCAGACATACAGTGTCGTTGGCGTTGTCGTTGACGATGTCGAGTATCTCAAATTTGGGTGAACCGGGTAACTCCGAGGTGGCTGGCTTGGTGCTTTACAGTTGTGGCTGTGTAAAGGAGTCTATTCTGTTTGTCCTCCTTTGTTCGGGTGACCGTGTTTTATTTGGCACTCATCGCTCTCACCGACATCCTCAAGATCTAAAAAATGCCCAGGTAATATTCTTGACATCGCGTTCGACGAGCAGTTAACAAACACACATGCAGGGCCCCGAGGAACCATTCCAAGACGTGAGCTTTCCAACTTGACTTCAAGATCCACTTTTATGTGGAGGGTGTAACACCGTGCTGATCAAAGCCGTGCCCCATTGCTATATAACTTTACAGTTATAAGGTCCCCCGTCGACCTTTCGAATCCGCTCGTCTCGATGCCGAGCTGAAGGTTCTTAACCGTCCCCATTCCCTTTTTTACCACCCCCTCAAATTCTATTCCATCTTAGCTCGCAGGTGAATACGGCCTCCGCAACAAACGCGAGATCTGGCGTATCGCCCTCATCCTCTCCAAAATCCGTCGTGCCGCCCGTGAGCTCCTCAAACTCGACGACAAGGACCCCAAACGTCTCTTCGAGGGTAACGCCCTCATCCGCCGTCTCGTGCGCATCGGTGTGCTGGACGAGTCCCGCATGCGTCTCGATTACGTGTTGGCCCTCAAGATTGAAGATTTCTTGGAGAGAAGGCTGCAGACTCAGGTTTTCAAGAGTGGTTTGGCTAAATCCATCCATCATGCTCGCGTGTTGATCAGGCAAAGACATATCCGGTGCGTTTGAACATACTATACCTCCTTGGGATTTTGAAACCTGATAATCACTTCGTTATAGCGTCGGCAAGCAAATAGTCAACGTCCCTTCATTCGTCGTCCGACTTGACTCGCAAAAACACATCGACTTTGCTCTTACTTCGCCTTATGGTGGAGGTCGCTCCGGTCGCGTTAAGCGTAAGCGTGCTGCTGCCGCTGCCAAGAAGGAGGAAGGTGGTGACGAGGAGGAGGAAGAGTAATTTAGTCGCCATCAACTACGCTATCTATGCTTTGTATCGTATGCCTCAGCCCCATGCCATTATGCATACGAACCGCATTTAGGAATGAGACTTTTCATGCCAGCAGAAGGTCAACATCTATATTTCGTGAATTCTGTGCTATCTACATGGTAAGCACAATAATTTTCAGCAGAAGCTCGAAGGCCCTTGCAGCCCTGTCTGACCAGTTTCACCCGAAGTGCAATTTGGTTCGTTCAGTGACGACACTTTCGATCTTACTTGGCGTCCAATATCGCCGATCTTCACTCTATAAAACACCGCGGTGCAACAGGCCCAGGTGAATCCTGGAGAAGAACGAAACAAGCAATAACCCGCACCTTTCTCAAAAATGAAGGTGAGAGACTTACAAAGTATGAGATGAGGAATGACTGCCTTGCAAGGGATTTTCCTAATGGTAAAGTTGAAAAAGCAAGTACAGATCCATATTGGCTCACCTCATCCTTTACCTGCGTCAAGACTTCAAAATTGTTTGGCGTGTGTTCGCCACCTGCTCCCGCATCTCGCTCGACGTGAAAGAAGATAGGACGGCTCGAACACGTCGGAGTACCGTTGTCGAGTCAAATACTGGTCCCTGTGCCAGCTCGAAGGCTCAGCTCGGTACCCTCGGTATCCGAATTGAAATTGAAACCAGGAGTGGTCTCTTTCTGTGAAGAGTTGGAAGACAGACTTGTCTAGCTCAGCTATGGCTGAGAGTTCTTCGGAGTTCCGCTGGAAAATAAGCACGTTCAGTGGCAGCCCAGGCAGCACCCTGAACGCAGCGATTACGATTGTGATAGTCAACGGCGGAATCGTGAGATGGTGGTTTTAAGCAGACCCAAAGACAACCGCTCTCTCTCCAGCTTCAACAGATGTCTTATCGAACTTGCTCGGAGGCAGGCTCTTCCTTGGGTCGAGCTTTGCCAATATCTGCGAGTGAACTTGTTCCCTGGGACATGCCGGACGAATTCAACGTATCAGGGAGTATCGAGAGGCCAATTGCCTAATTTTTTTTGTGCGGTTTATGTGCCTGACTATGAATGAGTGCTCCTCGTTGCTTGGAGTTACGGAGACATTTCCTTTGTAGTGAGATCCCGCTGAGCTGTCTATCATGCTCAGCAAGGGTTCTGGTAGTTTCAAATGTGACAACTTTTCTTACCTTGACGGCTGGAGGTTAGACAATCAAGGTTGACGGGAACGAGTGGAAGCATAGGGTTGGAAACTACGGGCACAAGGGAGATGAAGCGGTCCTGAAGTATTCAAAACTCGTCATTCAAGATTGTAGAATGCTAGCCAGAGATCCGCGACTCCATGGGAGGAATTGGGTCTTGCACATTCCCTCGTCCTACGATGGAT